TCGGCGATTGCGTCAAACGGAAGCGACACATCCACGATTGACAGGCGACATGAATTGTAAGGAGGAGCATGGATCTAGGGCGTGTTCACAAGTCCGAATCAACGCAGAGTTTCGCGCGATGATCCTAAAAATTCCTGAATTGTGCTAACCAAGGTATTAGATTGCATGGACAGAATCGATCCCGTGCTTTGAAACACTCGTTGAATCCCAAATGCGACAATGAACACAACGCAGTAAAAGAAAATGCTCAGTGTACATGTAACTAGGCCAGAGATTCAGTGTACAAGAGTAACATACATTTTATACATAAATAGCACGTTGCTTTTGTCGAAGGCGTGTGCCCTTATTCCGCGAAATTTTTGCTCTTGATTGTTCGTTCAGAGTGTGTTTCTGCCACATAGGTACACATGTCTGCGACCTCGCATTAGGAAACCTCGCATCAGACTACTACGGTCCTGCGCGGTGCAAACATTTGAGTTCGTAATTTCTCGTTTCGTCACGAATCTGATGCGAGGCTGAATCCGATGTGTGCTGTAGAAATTTGCCACTCGAAGGGGCACACTTCCAGCATACGCAGAGCAGGATTCTTATCGGGTCATAGAGTCCTGCAACCGGGACATAAATTTTCCGCCGACACAAAAGAACGGAAAATCTTTCGAAGGCACCTTTATAGGAATCTTCAACAGAACAACAACCGTTTTGACCAGAACTCGATAGATAACACATGGAACAACACTCTCCCTTTTAAGAGCAATTGTTGCTGTACATACGTAAAATTAGCCCGGAGGCTATTATTAGCCCCACCCCATGAGATTCCTATTCACCCTACACGCCTGTAGGGGGGCATATCCGGGGGAATATGGTATGTCCCTAGTATTGCCTTGTTCTATTCAATTTGATCCTCTAGATGGTATCACGCTAGGTAGGTCCCACCCACCCGCGCTTCCGCCCTAGCCTACCATACAGCGCCCTGCCCTAGCCTACCGTAGAGCGCTCTGACCTAGCCCGCCGCGCCGCGCCGCCCTAGTCCGCCGCACCATCCTTGTCTCGCCGCGCCGCCCTAGTCCGACGCGCTGGCCGTCCACATCGACGATAAGCTGCCCTGCCCCTCAACACCTGCTGCCCTCCCTGACACCCCCACGTCTGCTGAACGTGAGGCTTTTATTGCTTCTGAGCTCGCCCGGTCTGTCTAGGACTCGTGTGACGCCGTTGCGCAGCTTGCTATCAGTCACGCTCTCCCCCTATCCGAACGTCATCACTTTTAGGTCGTACAGACTGCGCAGGAGTACATAGCTGCGGTCATTGCTAGCTACTCCACTCCCTCCTAAGCCTCTGCTGGCCGTCTCCTCCTGCCCCTGCTCTTTCCTGATCTCACGTCCTTCCCCACTGCCGCTGATCTTATCACCCACCTGCATGCTCTTAAGACTAGCTACCAACACTGAGACCCAACTCACGCGGTGGTGAGGGTAGCGGGGGTGGCGAGGGTGGTGGAGGTGGTGCGAGCGCAGGCGATGCAGACGAGGGGGCAGGGGTTGACACTTGGAACAGCAGCAGCCCCAGCAGCAGCAGCAGCCGTGGGGTCCCCCGCCGCCATGGTGGCCTAACGGCTTTGGTGGTGGTGGTGGCCGATGTGGCGGCCCTCGTAGCTCGACGTCGGGTGGTGGCTCCAGATCTGTGAGCTACCAGTACCAGCTTCAGTCTGGTCCCTTTTGTGGCACCATGTGTGGCCGTCCTGGTCACAACGCCGCCCGCTGCTATCGCCGCCTCGACGCCCTCTTCCGTCTCCGCTTCGGCCCTGCGCCGGACCTCCTCCTGGACTGGTCCAGCCTCGTACGTCATCGTGTGTCGGTCTTCAAGATGGATATGGAACATATTAGCTCTGTTTTGTATGTCATGTACTGTATGCTGATGACTCTAGTGTTACTGGACCTTATTACCCTGTGTTGCGTAGCATAGGTGTGTCCAGTGTGTGTAGTCTAGGCTCCCCTGTTGCGTTAAGCATAGGATCTCCTGCCTTGTTTAGCCTTGGCTCCACCCTAGTACCTCCTTCGGCTGACGCTACCGTTGCTCTCTATTTCATGCTGGACTCTAGTGCGTCCGCCTGCTTCTTTCGCGACCACACTACGCTCACGACATTTGCCGCCCTTGCAGCTGTCGCTCGTGCTAACCCCTCCTCAGGTCTGGTAGTTTCACGTAGCTCCACCACCCTTCTCTGTCCTGCGGTTCCCTTGGGCTCCCTTACAAGCTTGCACATCCCCTCGTTCTCGGGGAACCTAGTTGGTGTCGGCTGTCTTCAGGACCTCGGCTTCACCACTACGTTCCCTAGACAGGAGCGGTATAGAGTCTATACCGAGGCTACCACTGGTGCCCCCCTCACCAAGTTCCTCCAGGATACGGTGTCTGGCCTGTTTACGCTGGACACCATGTCCTCCTTGGTGGGGGCGTCCCCCCAGGTGGCTGCATCTACCTAGATCGCTGCGGCTTGCTCGTGTTAGTCACTCACTCACATGTCGTTTCTGCGGCACTACCGCTTAGGTCACCCCGCACTCCCGTGTCTACGTTACATGTCCCAACACGATTTTGTCTTAGGTCTCCTTGCGTCGCTTCCTGCCCTACCTCCCTCGCTCGCGCCTCCGTGCACGCCTTGCGTCGAGGGTTGGCTGCGCCGTGCTCCTCACTCCTCCTCGTTTCCTCCTACCACTGTGCCACTCCAGACTCTGCACCTGGACGTCTGTGGCCCAACCCCCATCTCTAGGCCGTGTCGCGAGTGCTACTTTCCGGTTCTCGTCGCACGCGCTACACCACGGTGTTTCCCTTGGAGCGGAAGGCTGACTTGCCTTACGTTCTTATCCCGTGGCTTATCACTGATTCAGTACACCATGCCCAACTAGTGCTGCGTCTCCACTCCGACCGTAACGGTGAGTTCGCCTCCTGTCGGCTTGGGAAATTCTGTTGTTCGGAGGGCATCACCTAGACGTACACCATGCCGGACTCCCAACAGTTGAATGGGGTCACTGAGCGACGCATCGATTTGGTCATGGAGGTGGCTCGTACCTTCATTATCCATACCGGTGCACCCCTTTTTCTGTAGCCGTTCGCAGTTCCATACGCCGCCCACGAGCTTAACCTGTGGCCGCGCTCCCAGCAGCCACAATTTTGTCGACCCTCATTCGGAATGGGTTCCCTGGTGACGAGTCTGTGTTTCACGTCTGGGCCTGCCTATCTCACGCCCGCGACTCTCGCGCGGACAAGCTCACTGCTTGCACCATCTCTTGTGTCTTCCTTGGCTTCCACCTTGACACTTCTGACAGGCACTTTTACTTCATGTAGTCTCACCGCTTCTTTCACTCTCGTGACTTCACCTTTGACGAGTCTATCTCCTTCTACACCCGCTTCCCCTATGGAGGTCTCCCGGTTACCCCTCCCCTGTTCCTGGTCCTCACTCCTCCGATAGCTCCTGCTCTGCCCCGTCTGGTGTGTCGCACGTCACTCCCCTTCCTTCGGTTGGACTGGCGGAGGAGTCTATTAACTCTGGGGCCCTGAGGTCTAGGGTCAGCCGCCTGTTTCTGCGATGCCTTCACCCTCGGGCCCAACGTCTCCTCCTCTGCCGCAGCCGCAGCAGCCCCCGCGCCGCAGCAGCCCCCACAGCTGCAGGGGCTCGTGGGCTCTGGGGTGTTGGTGCTGGGGGTGCTGCCTTTGAGGAGGGTGTTAGTCGTGGGTGTGCTTGTCCTGGGGGTGCTGGTCCTGGGGGTATTGTCGTGACGAGTCCTAATGGTGGTCGTGGTGCGGCAGGCGGTTCTAACGTGGGCGCGGAACAGCAGCAGCAGCCACGGCAGCAGTCACCGCCAGAATCCGCCCTTTGCCTCCTCGGTATTCCCTGCCCCGACCGACCACTCGCACCTCCTCCAACGCCGCCTCCTCCTCCGGTTCTGTATGCTGACAATAGGGTCATGATCCTCCTGTGTTAGGAGCCTTGACTAGAGGGCAGAGCGATCCAGCTGCGGTACTTCCTTCTACGTGAGCTACAGCAGCGCGGCCAGGCACGCGTAGTACACTTGGCCTCCAGTGCCAACACAACTAATATCTTTACCAAACCGCTTGCACCTAAAGATCATCAGCAAAATTGCTTACAGCTTGGTCTGGTTCCAGTAGCTCCTCACTTCCTAGGACCCTGATTGTGTACTACTCCTTATATATTTTCTTGACTGGCCTTGTGGCTCTTGTCTCAGTGGTTGGACTAGTAGTGCCACCCTGAGTTAGTAGTACTCTTGCTGACTGTTCCTCAGATGTTGAACTAGTGGTTTCTTGCTCCTCACTACCCCTTATCTAGCCTACGGGGTGCGTCAACTTATATATATAATCATTTGTAGAAGTTATAGGATCAATAGGTTTGTGTTCTTAGAAGGTACAACTCCAACCCTATGTGCCCCTTGTAGTGCCTTGTTCTAGTGACAGTTCTGACGTGATGGTGAGGAGGAAACAGGGCAAGGGGAAGGAGATGGAGGGAAAAGGGAGGAGGTGGTGGGGGGTGAGCGGAGGGAAGAAACAATAATTTGATTCGTTGGAAAAAAGATAGTATATTGCCTGCCAAAATTGCTGAGCCGCACATAGCCATAATTCTGGTACCTTTATGTTAGAAACTCAGTCACTAAACAGTTAAAATGACTTTTGTGATGTAGTGGGTAAGTGCGCCCATAACCCCCTAGGCTATGCACCTGTGGCCCTTCCTAGAGGATCTCAAGGGCAACCCCAGCGGGTCTCCTGACACCTTATGACCTTGTGTATTTGGTTTGCACCTTGGTCCGACCAAGACCTTTGAAATGCGAATGTGAGCTTGGGAAGGAAAGTGAAATGGTGCTGTGTGTTTAGATAATTCTTCAAAACATACGGTAATAGATGGTGACCGCACATGTGCGGAGAAGTCTTATGTCGAGGTTGATTCGTCCCGAACTCCACTCTGTCCCTCTGAAGAATCTTTCGCTTGGGCTACTTCCGCCCAGTTCGCTCAAACTTGGGCTGGCTGGATTCTCTTCCAACACGAAGGCCCGTTTCTCCCCGCATTCAGTCAGGACGCAATTCGGCGTTATGGCGGAAGCGAAGCGAGTGCGCTTGGGGTTCGTAGGTGAGTGCGCGCCGGCTTTTTGCGTTGACTCGCGAGTCATATAGTCGCTGACTGCGCGACGAAACCACTCGTTGTGACCTGCGTTCGTCGCATCCGTCGCATTCATCGCCTTCGTCGCCGTCGTCGCCTGGATACGCGAGAAACGCCGTGCGGCGCCAATGGTTGCGGTCCTTCGTCGCCTTGATTTCCCGCCAGGCGTGCCGCCGTCCCCGCGTCTGCGCGCCGCTTGTTCGGAGGACGGACCTCGCGCCGGGGAAGTAAAGCCGATTTTTGAGGCGCCTCAAAAATAGACCTCGCGCCGGGGAAGTAAAGCCGAATGAGCATTCGGACTCGAATCGAGTCGAGATTTGCCTCCACAGGGAATATAAGAAACCCCCATGCTCTTCGATTTCCCACGCACAAAGAGCATGGGGAATCGAAGTCGTCGCCGCATCGGCATGCCATTTTCAGAGAGCATCGTTTTCGCCTCTCATCCTACCTTCACTGATTAATCCGCCTCTGATTCGTCCGTCACTGATTCGTCCGTCACTGATTCGTCCGTCACTGATTCGTCCGTCACTGATTCGTCCGTCACTGATTCGTCCTTCACTGATTCGTCCGTCACTGATTCGTCCTTCACTGATTCGTCCGTCACTGATTCGTCCGTCACTGATTCGTCCGTCACTGATTCGTCCGTCACTGATTCGTCCTTCACTGATTAATCCGCCTCTGCTTCGTCCGTCACTGATTCGTCCGGCACGGCACCTGGTCTCAATCTGCTTCCAAATCTCGGCCCTCGATCTGCCGTCCCTCTCCCGTCAAATGCCTAACATCCCCCGCAAGCGCGGGGCAGATGGCGGAACCATTTGTGCGGGGGATGACCCGGAGATGGATTTTTGCGCCCCCGGTCGCTCGGTACCCCTTATTCCCCCACTTGTCTCCCCACATACACCCCCCCCCCCCTTTCCCCCCTTCCCCCCTTCCCCCCTTCCCCCCTTCCCCGGGCAGGCGCGGGGCAGATGGCGGAGGCGCTGGCGCGGGGGATGAGCGCCGCGGGGGTGGTGGCAGCGAGCGACATGAGCGCCATGGACCTCAGCCAGGAGCGCCTGGCGGTGTTCTCGGGTATAGGAGTGGCCACCAAGTCAACCTGCAAGGAGGTGGGCGCTGCTGGTACAGCACATGCTTTGGGGTGGCTGCGACTGGCACTGCAAGCACAGCGACGTGAGCACAGCGGAGGTGGTTGCCGGAAGCGACATGAGCGCCATGGACCTCAGCCAGGAGCGCCTGGCGGTGTTCTTGGGAATAGGAGTCGCTTCTGAAGCAACTTGCAAGTAGGTGGGTACTGGAACGACTGGCTGCAGCTAGCAGCCGCCAGTGACGTCATCTTCATAGCAGTGAAGCCGCACACAGTCAAGGCGGTGCAACCTTTCAACTCCCGCCCTCTCCTCCCTGATGCCGCTCCTTCCAACTCCGTCCCTATTTGCAGCTCGCTGCTGCGAGTCACGTCATCTTCATAGCAGTGAAGCCCCACATGGTCAAGGCGGTGCTGACTGAACTGAGGGACAGCGCTGCCATAACCGCCTCCCATCTCGTTGTCTCCATCGCCCTCAATCACTCCTCCCAATCCCCGCCCTTCCTTGCTCTTCCTGCCATTCCCTCTCCCCGCCCTCCCCTCTTCCCCTTCCCTCCAGCTCGCTGCCGCCAGTGACGTCATCTTCATAGCAGTTAAGCCGCACACCGTCAAGACAGTGCTCTCGGAGCTGAGGGACGGCGCTGCCATCACGGCCTCCCACCTCGTTGTGTCCATCGCTGCTGGGGTCACCATCGCCAATCTGCAGCAGTGGGCGGGAGAAGAGGCGAAGATCATTAGGGTTATGCCCAACACCCCCTGCCTAGTGGGAGCCACAGCGGCAGGTGAGAATAGCTGATAGTGCTGCCATCACATGTCACTACCACAGCCATCACATCACTGCCATCACAGCACTGCCATCACATGTCACTAGCACAGCCATCACATCACTGCCATCACATGTCACTAGCACAGCCATCACAGCACTGCCATCACAGCACTGCCATCACGGCCTCCCATCTTGTTGTGTCCAGCGTTGCTGGGGTCACCATTGCCAATCTGCAGCAGTGGGTGGATGAAGAGGCGAACATTGTTCGGGTCATGGGGATAAGTGTGCAGCCGTGCCTGGCTGGAGCCGCAGCAGCAGCAGCCGAGACATGGCGTGGTGGGTGGGTGGGTGAGGATACGTAAGTGTGCAGTGTGCACCCACCCACCCACCCACCCACCCACCCGCCGCGCCATGTCTCGTGGGGGCGGCAGCAGCAGGTGAGCGTATCAGGTCAGGCAGTGCAGCCAACGTGGTGCACTCATCTCAATGTATCCGTTGCTGCTTGCAGGGTATCTTCTATCATTCTCAAAGTACCGTGCAGACAGTGCAGCCAACGTGGTGCACTCATCTCAATGTATCCGTTGCTGCTTGCAGGGTATCTTCTATCATTCTCAAAGTACCGTGCAGACAGTGCAGCCAACGTGGTGCACTCATCTCAATCTATCCGTTGCTGCTTGCAGGGTATCTTCTATCATTCTCAAAGTACCGTGCAGACAGTGCAGCCAACGTGGTGCACTCATCTCAATGTATCCGTTGCTGCTTGCAGGGTATCTTCTATCATTCTCAAAGTACCGTGCAGACAGTGCAGCCAACGTGGTGCACTCATCTCAATGTATCCGTTGCTGCTTGCAGGGTATCTTCTATCATTCTCAAAGTACCGTGCAGACAGTGCAGCCAACGTGGTGCACTCATCTCAATGTATCCGTTGCTGCTTGCAGGGTATCTTCTATCATTCTCAAAGTACCGTGCAGACAGTGCAGCCAACGTGGTGCACTCATCTCAATGTATCCGTTGCTGCTTGCAGGGTATCTTCTATCATTCTCAAAGTACCGTGCAGACAGTGCAGCCAACGTGGTGCAGGCATCTCATTGTATCCGCTGCTGCTGGCGTCACCAGTTCAAAGCGCCAGCTTCATTTTGCAGCGCTGGTGCTTCAAAGCATATTCCCTTGGTTCTCCCGCGGCCCGCCCATTACATTTGCACATCCCTTCCGCCCATAGCCATGAGTCTAGGAGGCAAGGCTACAGCAGAGGACGCAGCGTTGGTGCAAGGCACGTTTGAAGCTCGTCAAAACACCTTCCTTCAAACCCTCACCCATGACACTCCCCCTCCCCCTCCCTCTCCCTCTCTTCCCCCGATCCCCCGTCTCCCCCTCCCCCCAGCCATGAGCCTAGGAGGCAAGGCCACAGCGGAAGATGCAGCGTTGGTCCGACGCATGTTTGAAGCGGTGGGCAGAATTCAACAGGTGGAGGAGAAGCTGCTGGATGCAGTCACCGGGCTGAGGTGAGATGGTGGTGTTGCCTTAGTCTGTCTGCAAGTATGCCGCTGATGCTCCCTTGAGTTAGCATCACGCATGTTTGAAGCGGTGGGCAGAATTCAACAGGTGGAGGAGAAGCTGCTGGATGCAGTCACCGGGCTGAGGTGAGATGGTGGTGTTGCCTTAGTCTGTCTGCAAGTATGCCGCTGATGCTCCCTTGAGTTAGCATCACGCATGTTTGAAGCGGTGGGGCGGATCCAGCAGGTGGAGGAGAAGCTGCTGGATGCAGTCACTGGGCTCTGGTAAAATGTAATGTGTGCTTACAGGTATGGAGGTAACGGCCCTCTAAGCGGGCACGTCCACTGAACAAAAACCCTTCAGACAACAGCATGCGGCTTGGGAAAACGGCAAAGGCAAATGATCCGGGAGGGGCAGGCGTGTAAAAGTTTTGTGTCCGCCAACTGCGAGAGTGGGCATGCTCGTTTTTCGTTCACAATCCCCCCCCCCCCCTTCCCCCTCCCTCCCCAGTCGTGGCTTTGTGAGAATTCCCGCGATGCCCACCTGAATCCCCAGCCTGCCTGCCGGTCTGCTTTGGGGATCTTTTTTGGAATTCCAAAAAATGACTCCACTGTTCCCACGATGCTCACCTGAATCCGCTTTTGAGTCGACTCAAAAGCAGAATCCTAAAAAGCAGAATCCTAAAAAATGACTCCAGTGTTCTGGCAATGCTCACCTGCATCCCCAACCTGCCTGCTAGTCTGCTTCTGGATCGTCGAAAACTGCATTGCAGCTTCCGGAAACAGATGGCCAAAAAGTGCTGGCGAACAGGGCCGATATGCTGCAGATGCCGCTGCCTGTCCACAAGTATGCTTCTGATGCTCCTTCTGGTTTTGGGCAGTGACTACATGTAGGGAATCCGAAATCTTCTCAGGTAATCTGCTTCAGATGCCGCAGCCAAGGGTATGGAGGCGCTATCTGGTGGAGGCGCTATCTGCTGGAGGCGCTATCTAGTGGAGGCGCTATCTGGTGGAGGCGCTATCTGGTTGAGACGCTGTCTGGTGGAGGCGGCTGTCAGGTGGAGGTGCTGTCTGGTGGAGGCGCTGTCTGGTGGAGGCACTGTCTGGTGCAGGCGCTGTCTGGTGGAGGCGCTGTCTGGTGGATTATCTTAGAGTCGAGACAAAGCTCGCTGCTCCCGTTCCACCCACCTTGCAGTCCCTTATTCCTCTTCCTCCTCGCACTGGCAGTGGTCCAGCATATGTCTTCATGACGATAGAGGCGTTGGCAGACGGGGGTGTGGCTGCTGGGTGGTTTTTCTACTCGCAGCTCATCCTCTATCCCCCATTCACTTTGCTCTCCCTTCACTTTGCTCTCCCTTCACTTTGCTCTCCCTTCACTTTGCTCTCCCTTCACTTTGCTCTCCCTTCACTTTGCTCTCCCTTCACTTTGCTCTCCCTTCACTTTGCTCTCCCTTCACTTTGCTCTCCCTTCACTTTGCTCTCCCTGCACTTTGCTCTCCCTTCACTTTGCTCTCCCTTCACTTTGCTCTCCCTTCACTTTGCTCTCCCTTCACTTTGCTCTCTCTTCACTTTGCTCTCCCTTCACTTTGCTCTCCCTTCACTTTGCTCTCCCTTCACTATTCCGCCTCCTCCTCCTCTTCCTCCTCTTCCTCCTCTTCCTCCTCTTCCTCCTCTTCCTCCTCTTCCCCCTCGCAGTGGCAGCGGCCCGGCATATGTCTTCATGGCGATAGAGGCGCTGGCGGACGGGGGTGTGGCTGCTGAGTGACCTCTGAATGATATGCATCTCACAGCCTCTTCTCACGCTCTCATTGCTCTCCTCTCCTCTCTCTTCTCCCTTTTCCCCTCGCAGTGGCAGCGGCCCGGCATATGTCTTCATGGCGATAGAGGCGCTGGCAGACGGGGGTGTGGCTGCTGGCCTTCCCAGAGACGTTGCTCTTTCCCTGGCAGCTCAAACGGTGCGGGGCATCACCCTTCCCTCCCCCCTCACTGCTCTTGTCACTCTGGCACCAATTGCCTCACTGGCATGTGTAGGCTATTGCTGTCTCACTCACCGCACATCCAGCTCTTGTGCCATTGTAACAAGATGAACTGTAGTCGACTCAAAAGTCACTCTTGTACCACTCGGTTCATTGCCATTTGTAGGATATTGCTGCCTCTCCACACACCCACCCAGAAATTCCGTGTGCTTTCCTCCCCACTTCAACCGAACTCCTCTCTCCTCCCCACACTCCCCCCTCCTCTTTCCCTCCTCCCCATTCCCCCCCCCCCCTAAACTCGCTTTGTCTCCCCTCCCTCCGCCCCCCTCCCTCCAGGTGTATGGCTCTGCAAAAATGGTGTTGGAAACGGGCAAGCATCCGGGTCAGCTCAAGGACTCGGTTGCCTCTCCTGGAGGTAACACATGTTTTTAATGTTCATATATGTCAATCCATAAGAATATTTTTTTTTCACAATTCAGCTGGTATGTCCCTGGCAGTGATGGCCCACTACAAATTTTTTTGGTTTGGTTACTGCATGCACAGGTACCACCATTGCGGGCATACATGCGTTGGAGAAGGCAGGCTTCCGAGCTTCGTTGATGAATGCAGTGGTTGCAGCGACGGAAAGAAGCAAGGAATTGTCAAAGTAGCTGTTTTTTTTCTGTTATGAAAACGCTTTGGATGGCTTAAAGCCCGTGGCTAAAATAACAATCAAGGTTCCTGTTGTAGTGTGCCTTTCCTAGTGTATTAGGATTTTGTTTAGATGATACCCTATGCCCTAGAATGATCATTTATAGTTCGATGAATATGATCATACGAGGCTCATCATCGTAACATAGATCGAGGCGGACTATGGGACGATCGAGGGTGAGCCAGGGGTTCTAGGCTTGGGGGTTTGCAGAAAGCCCAACCATCCATCGCACACCGAGTTTTCTAGGGCTCTTGAAGCAGCGAAATTTAGGACTGTTTCCTCCCGTCGCTATCTAGGAGCGCCTTAGCCAGCAGCCCGAGCGCCAGCTTAGTCTTCTCGAAATACGAAACGCCCCTGATTGTACTCGTGGTTCTTTAAACCCCGGATCGTACGTTGCCGCTTTTTATTCGACTCAAAGCAGGTTTACCCTCTCGAAATCGCCAACGCCTCTGGTTGCACTTGCGATTCTTTAAACCCCGCATCGTGCGTTGCCGTTTCAAGCCGCTCACTTGGGCCTGCGAATGACGGGAGTCGGAGTGGCGGAGCCGGAAGCGCAGGAAGCGGGGGAGCAATTGGGGGGAAGGGCGGAAAGGGCGGAAGACGCGGAAGCGTTGACAGGCGATGGAGGGAGGGGAGAGGAGGGGAGTGGGGATGAGGGGGGTGGGGGGGAGGGGAGTGGGGAGGAGGGGAGTGGGGAGGAGGGGAGTGGGGAGGAGGAGCAGGTCAGGTTTGATTGGTTAGGTGGGTCGGGTGGGAAGGAAGGGGATGAGGAAGAGGACGGGGAGGATGGGGATGAGGGGGAGGAGGGAGCAGAAGAAGAAGAAGAAATAGAGGGCGGGGAAGCGGAGGAAGCGGAGGGAGCGGAGGAAGCGGAGGGAGCGGAGGAAGCGGAGAAAGCGGAGGAAGCGGAGGAAGCGGAGGAAGCGGAGGAAGCGGAGGAAGCGGAGGAAGCGGAGGAAGCGGAGGAAGCGGAGGAAGGGGAGGAGGAAGGAGAGGAGGGGGAGGAGGGAGAGGAGGGAGAGGAGGAGGAAGGGAAGGAGGAGGGAGAGGAGGGGGAGGAGGAGTATATGGTGTTGAGCGAGCAAGCCGTGAGGCAAAAGTGGGTATCGCTCGTGTCATAACATGTAGTGACACGCGGTGCCGTGTCGTCAAGCTATCTTGAGCACAGTACACATGCCACGCCACTGTTCATCCTAGACCCCGTTTTGTCCTCTTCGGGTTCCCTAAGACCAACCCATGTTTTTAAACCCATCTTACGCCTGTCCGTTTACACCCCTTAACCATGCCTATGGCGCCAATGCATGCCGCTAGACATAGGGCATTGGGTCTGGCTGGCCTCGGCTTGTTGGACATCACCCCCCTTTTAGGCCCTGGCGCCTGCTTGCTCCTAGTGCAAAATGCTGGAACAATCATCTTGCTCTAATTCACACTCCCACCCCACTCCTAACCCACTCCACCCACTCTATGCCGTGACTCCATGCCATTACTTCCTCACCCTCTAATTTCCATGCCGTGGCTGGCATGACCCCATCTGCAGGAAATTGGACGACTATGCGCGCTCCTTCGCCCCAATCGTTTGGGAACCCAAAACCTCCCTCGCCTCCTCCTCCTCATTCTCCTCCTCGACTTCCTCCTCCTCTCCATTCTCCCTCTCCTCCCTCTCCTCCTCCCTCTTTTCCCCCTCTCTTTTCTCACACTCTCGCCGCAAAACCAAGCCCACCAAGGCAAAAAACACCCCCCTAAAACCCAGCGCCGTTGCTGACGCGGCAAAGGGTACAACCGACGTGGCAAGGGGTGCGACTGACGTGGCAAGGGGGAAGAGCACTGGGCCCAGGGGCGTCACTGTAGCAACCACTGGGTCGGCTCGGATCGTTCTGCGAGAGGCCTCCGAACTGGGCGGCATAAGAAGCACCACTGGGATCCGATTGGCTGTTGTTAGCGAGAAGGAGGGTGAAGGGGGGGAAGGGGGAGGAGGCAAGGGAGGGGAGGCAGGGAGAGGGGAGCACGGGAGGGGAGGGCCGGAGAACGGAGGAGGGGGAGGGAAAGAGAAGGGGGGAGAGAAATGGGTGGAGGGGCAGTTACAAGTGCCTCCAAAGGACCCTCATAAGCTGGCGCAGATCGCCAGGAAGAACAAACCCAACACCGCTGGGCCGAAATGGTGAGATGCTTTGGACTGCTAGTGGGTTCATGTCGCCGGTGGCAGTAAATTTAGGGCATCTTGGAGTTGTTTTGTGGGGACTTCCGTCTTTTTTCTTGTCGACATCTCTTTTTTGTGTGCTTCACCCTGTGTTTCATCGTCATCCCTTTATATATATATATATATTGCAATTTTCCAGGTACGATCTTCCAGCGCCCACTGTGACTCCTGAGCTCAAGACCGAGCTGCAATTGCTACGGGTAATGACTGACAGAGTTCCCACAAAATTGTGGGGATACGATCACATCCCTGCTGGCTTTGTGCGTTTGAAATATTAACAGCCACGGCAATGTGCCAAATGACTACAGTCATCATGCATGCATTCCTGATTCTACGCCTCTGATTATATTCACTGTTTTTCTGTCCATGACTGTTTGCATGTGCGTCTGCGCAGATGAGGAATGTTCTTGACCCCAAGAGACACTATCGAGCTGCAGACTCCAAGAAGCTTCCTACGCACTTTCAGGTACTATATTGCCCTTGTTCTCTGCGCCATTTCCCCTGTCTACTCGCTCCACTTGCCGTGCCTTTTTTTTTTCCCGATTTTCTGGATTTCCTTTCTTATGGAGCATTTCTGATCCCCTAAATCCAGACTGGACTGGAAGTCAGGTTAAAGCAGTGGTGAAGGGCGGAGCAGATTTCTACAGCAGCTAGCTGACTTCACTGCTTTGCACCCATATGAACCACACTGTACTCCTCTCCTTTGGATTTCAATATCCCCCAGATCGACACAGTGGTGGAGGGCGCAGCTGACTTCGACAGCTGCCGTCTCGCTTCGTTCCTTTCGGTGTGTGCGCATCATAAAAACTTGCTTTCTATCCCTCGTCCCGTTGGAAATTTCCCGTCCCCGTCCAGATCGGCACGGTGGTGGAAGGTGCCGCTGACTTCTACAGCAGCCGGCTGACTCGGAGGGAGAGGAAGCAGAGCTTTGCGGCTGAGCTGTTGCACGACGACGACCTCAAGAAATACAGGTGAGGCAATAGACGGGGGCCATACCTGAATGTGGACAAGTCAGGCAGGTCAGGCAGGTCAGGCAGGTCAGGCAGGTCAGGCAGATCAGGCAGGTCAGGCAGGTCAGGCAGGTCAGGCAGGTTAGGGAGTGATGCGCCTGCTGCACGCCATAGGGTTGGGAAGCAGGGCTTTGCGGCTGAGCTGTTGCACGGCGATGGCCTCAAGAAGTACAAATGAGGCAACCGCATATAGTGAAGGAAGACAGATTATTTTCCAGTAAACTTAGTCATACAGACTGAGCTTGCTGCTACCCTACCCATTTCTTCAGTAGACCAGACTCGTTCCATCATCAAGCAATCCCACTCTTCCTCATTGTGCCCCTCTTCCCTGCTCTTCCCCGCTCTACCCTGCTCTACCCTGCTCTACCCTGCTCTTCCCTGCTCTTCTTTGCTCTTCCCTGCTCTTCTCTGCTCTTCTCTGCTCTTCTCTGCTCCTCTCCCCACTATCCTCTTGCAACTCTTGTTGTGCCCAATGCAGGAAGCGCAAGTTCCTGGAAATCGCGGAGGAGAATCAGCGCAAGGGAAGGAGGCACCTGGTGAAGAAGCAGGACCGGAAGAACCCCACGTGGGCCAGGGCAGCACCTAAATGATGAGGCCACCGTTTTTCATATCATGCGTACTGCTAGGTTCCGGTTGTATTGTGAGTCGACTCAAAATAGAACCCCACGTGGGCCAGGGCAGCACCTACCGGTAAATGATGAGGCCACCGTTTTTCATACCATGCGTGCTGCTAGGTTCCTTGGCTAGGCCATCACTTCACAGTTTGTGCCAGAGGCACCTGGTGAAGAAGCAGGACCGAAAGAACCCCACGTGGGCCAGGGCAACGCCCAAGTGATAAGCCACATGTTGCATCCATTCCGATCACTCTGCTGCTGCCATAGCAACGTCTTGTGAAGGGTGCACCTGGTGACGAAGCAGGACCGAAAGAACCCCACGTGGGCCAGGGCAACGCCCAAGTGATAAGCCACATGTTGCATCCATTCCGATCACTCTGCTGCTGCCATAGCAACGTCTTGTGAAGGGTGCACCTGGTGACGAAGCAGGACCGAAAGAACCCCACGTGGGCCAGGGCAACGCCCAAGTGATAAGCCACATGTTGCATCCATTCCGATCACTCTGCTGCTGCCATAGCAACGTCTTGTGAAGGGTGCACCTGGTGACGAAGCAGGACCGAAAGAACCCCACGTGGGCCAGGGCAACACCCAAGTGATAAGCCACATGTTGCATCCATTCCGATCACTCTGCTGCTGCCGTAGCAACGTCTTGTGAAGGGTGCACCTGGTGACGAAGCAGAACCGGACGAACCCCACGTGGGCCAGAGCAGTGCCCAAGAGATGGTTGTGCCATGGGTAGAGTGCAGGTCATCATGAGGCTGTACGAGCCATGCCTAGTGATGTGATGTGCCCGTCAAGGGAAGAAGGCACCTTCCTTCCGGTCCTGCCCTTCACCTGGGGGTGAAGCAGGACAGGAAGAGCCCCACGTGGGCCAGGGCAGGGCCCAAACAGCTCAGACATTTACGTAACACGTGTAACACGTGTGACACGTGTAACACGTGTCTCAGATCAGATCCCACCCTCCCAGACCATGCTTTCGCGAAGGCCTGCTGCTTGTTCCTTGCTGGGGGATTGCCCATTTGCCTGTTATTGGTGAATGTATGGTTGGAATTGGATTGGCAGCACGTGTAACAGGCTCACAGCATGAGCAACACACACACTTGAAGGGTGAGCAGATACCGAAAATCCAATGCATGTGCGGGATTCAACTTGATTATCACCCAATCGCCTCGAATACACTTGAAATCACATCATTAGACACTAGAAACCCTTCCGGATCAGTGAGTCGAATCCTGAGGCCATCCAATTCCCAGCTCACGTGTCCACCACCACCACCCTTGCTTCCCCCACCTGCACAAGCACCTCCTATCACCCTCACTCCCTCACCGCCATTCCCTGCACCCTGAACCGGTGGTACCCTCTCTTTCCCATGTGCAATAATCACATCTAACTGCTGCTCTAATCCTCTCACATACTCTCCTCCCATAACCTCCTTACTTCCATCCCCCCACTCTACCCCTTGCAACCCTTGCACCACTTTCACCACTTCCACCAATCCTGCTTCGACAAATTTCAGCAGCTCTCTCCCCACCACCACGGCAGCCTCGTTGCCGAACCTACTCGCCAGCTCTGGCATTCCCAAGCCTTCCCTGAGCCTGAGCCCCAGCATGACCGTATCTAGCAGCTCCTCTTCCCTCGAATCCTCGGGCCAATCAATCACCCCCACACTAGCTTCGTATTTGCCGACCCACTCCCCATACTCATCCCAGGTTCGGGGCCGAACGAACCTTTTCCGAGCCACGTAGCTGGCTGCGCCGAGCCCGAACCCCAGATACGGTACATTGGTCCAATAGGCTCGGTTGTGCCGAGACTCGAAGCCAGGTTTGGCGTAATTGCTGACCTCATAGTGGGCGTATCCTGCCGCACGAAGCTGCCTGGAAGCTTCCCTGTACATGTCAGCGGAAAGGTCGTCTGGGGGAAGGGGGGAGCGGCCTGGGGAGTACCAGCGGCCGAATGCCGTGCCCTTTTCCACCTGCAAATCGTAGACTGACACGTGGCTGGGGCCTAGGCGGATTGCTTCAGAGAGGGAGTGGTGCCAGCTGTTGAGGGTCTGGCCTGGCAGGCTGCCATTGGTTGGAAGTGAAGGGAGGGAAGGAGGAAGAAATGGCATGGGGAGCAGGGGTTGGGCAAAGGATGCAGATGCTGCAACCACGAAGCAGCGTGCACAGACCGGACTACACGAGTTGGACCAAGAGAGATAAGGTCTTGCACACAGCACATTGTGCATTCCCGCTATTGAAGACTGTTGAGAGTGCACTAAAGACAATTTCCCTAATAAAAGCTAGCAACAAAAAGTTGAATACGTACACTAAATCCAAAGGCCCAAGCACATTGCGCTCACTCACCCTGAGATGAGGTCCAAGCTCCAATTCTCCAGCCCCACTCGCTTCACCGCGTCAACAGCATCGTACACATCAGCTAGGGAGTGTGATCTCCCACACGCCGTCAGTAGCTTCTCATCGAACGCCTGGCAACCGACACTCAGCCTCGTCACTCCCGAGCCTTCCACCCAGGCTCGGAGCCGAGCCTCGTCGAACGTGCCAGGGTCGGCCTCCATGCAGATCTCTGCGTCCGGAGCTAGGCCGTAGGTTCGGCGGAGGGTGCCGACGAGCCTGGAGAGGAGGTCCGGCGGGAGGAGGGACGGGGTACCCCCTCCGAAGTGGATTGTGCGAAGAGGAGAGGGAGGAGGAGAGGGAGGAGGAGAGGGAGGAGGAGAGTGAGGAGGGGGGTGAGGAGGAGGGTGGGGAGGGTGGGGAGGAGGGAGGAGGGAAGATAGAGTACCCGGATCCCTCAACCTCTTTGTAACCTCACCCTCCACTGCATTTCCACTACTAAGCCCAGCCCCACTATGTATGGCTGAAACACTTTTAGCACTGGCTTTAATCTCCCGGATCACCTGCTCCACGTAGCTCTCCATCTTAGATCTCAGCCGTTCATGCACGGACGGGTCCCTGGCGCCCACTGTGACTATAGGGAAGTCGCAGTAATGGCAGCGGCGGCGACAGAAGGGGATGTGAATGTAGGCGGAGAGAGGAGGGGAGGAGGCAGTGGCAGGACCGTGATCTGGACACGTGCGAATGGTGTCATGGACACGTGGCTGCTCCAGATTGGTTGAAGATGACGGAGCCGTGGTGGGGTTGCTGGTGTGACTACAACGGGGTCCGAAGCGTAACGTCGATCTGGGTGGCAATGGCGGAAGGGAGGTGAATCGAGGTCGTGGAAGGGAGAACCTTGCTTTTGTCTCGACTCGAAAGGGGGAGGAGCCATGGTAAGATGAGCCATGGCCAATGGTAAGCCAGGATGACCAGAGACCCGCGGGAAGTTTCGACCTGGCTGACGTGGTGATCAGGACGCGGCTGCGGTGGTGAGGCTGGCGACGCGATGGAGCGACGGGTGCGACTGCTGCGACGTGAAACTCGACTGGCGACGGCGACACGGATCGCAGAGCGACGCTCAAGCGACCTGGAAGGCATCTAGTGTGGGGAGTCATGCGAGCTGAAGATGTGCGACTGCTTATCGTCCAGATAATTGAACAACGTACGGTCGAAGCTACTTCGCTCGTCGTCGAGTGCGAACGCCGCGTTCCTCGGTGACTCTGCCGTTATCAGTGCTGTGCTCCGCGGCGCAGTCAATTCTACTATGGTACTGCACTAGTATCGCTCTGCGTCCCTGTCGACTGGTGCCGCCTGCTATGCCTCTGCTTCTGTCGCTCTTGCGACTATGTCCCCGTCAGAAGGCACTTCGTTACAAGAGCAGCTCCTCTATTGTATTTTCCCTATAAAACGTTGTCGAAACAATCTGTTCACATTTGACGCCTAACAAATTTCCTTGCGTTCGGGGGCCAGCAAATCACGAAGGTTCACCACGGCCCTATCCCCTCACTCTCAATACCACCAGTCACGCCAATCAAATGTCTCCCAACCCCAAGTTCCAAATTCCAACTCTGTCCGATTAAGAAGCAAGCAAACCTAACAGACTGTCTTGTTTATGCGTTGAGGGACATTCCTGGCACTCCTCTCTTAGGGGCCAGGATCAGGAATTGGTGGAACCATAGAGGACGCGACACACTAAATAAGTCAGAGACAAACACTAGTACCGTATAAATATCAAGAGTTCAACAAACAGCTAGGGATGACCCAAGACGTCGTCCTTTTAATCTTCTCATCCTCCAGCAGCCGATTCTTCTCCATTAGAATATCACGCTCAAGCCTCAGCTTTTTAACCTCCACTTTTGCAATATCCAGGGCTTTAAGATACTCCTCCGCTCTCTCTAAGCTCTCCCTTCCCGCCACTGCCACTTCTGCTGCCTCCTCTCTTTCCTCCATCAGCATTGCTAACTCCCTTTGCAGAGCATCTATTCTTCTATCTGACGCCATCATTGCCGCTTCTTTCTCCCGGCGCGCCGCTTTCGACCTGGCGTTCGCGGCCGCCAGCTCAGCACGCACGGACGCCACCTCAGCGTTCGCCGCTGCCAGCTTGGCGTTCGCGGCGGCTGCGACTTCCCGCAGCTGGTGCAGCGCGGCTCCTTCTCGCTCCTTCGCGCGCGCCAGGCCTTCTTTTAGGAGCTTCAACTCGGCTCGGAGGACCTTGACCTCTTCAGGCTCTTCTGAAGGCGCTGAGTCCCCTGGGATGGCGGCTTCAGCCTCGAGAAAGCCATTTTCCTTATTGGTAGTACTAGTTTCTGTTTCCATGGTCGTCGTTGTCATGCCGGTCCGAAATCTTCAGCCTAGCAGCGGACGTGCCTAGTGTTTAACTAACGGTACCTCTTCGATGAAAATGACGAAAGCAGAGACATGAGCCTACGGCCCCTCCCCCGTCAAATCGACGAAAGCAGCAGTTATAAGCCGGTGTCGAATACCGCTATTGGTGGAAGCTCTTCCACGATTCTTTTGCTAAGAAAAGCGCTTCACGTTGGCCAGTGACTACGAAAGCGGCGCAGTGTCCACCAGAGTCCACCAAGAAAGCAGTTCCTTTACTGACTCAGAATCTAAATCCACGTGAAAGCTCTGACAATGGAGCTCAAGCGACAGACAGTTGAGTCTCAATGAGCGGTGGAAGTAACTTGGAGAAAGCGTCGATACCCCCTGCGTCAATACATCAGGCGCCATATCGTACTCATGCTGGCGAAAGCACCAGTCGTAAATTGGTGGTGAGCGAATCGGTAATATGGGAGAATGACTTCAGTAGTAGTTTTTGCATACCGGGATTTTCTTCTGTTATACATACTTTCCGTAGCGAAACGCCCGTAACCCCCCTACCTTTGATAGCAAGTTTACCGCGACCCGTATTATCTGGAGGTTTACCCCACCCTTAACCATTTGTTATGGCTTATTATCCCTCAATGGGGATGTTCTCAAATTTCTATTATTTTGCGTCCTGCGCGACTTTTCGGGACTCCAGTTGCGACACTGTCGCGAAAATATTTATAACTGTACCAATTTCGAAGCCAAAATTCGACCGACGCCACTGTAAAAAATCCCAAAACTTGGGAAACTTGAGACGCGACGAGCAGATGACCCTCGGACACGACGCGGGGCGATTGTTCGCGCGCAAAATACAGGAAACTAAAAAACATCCCCATTGTGGGCTAGTAAGCCCTAGCAAATGGTTAAGGGTAGGGATACCTCCCGATAATACGGGTCGCGGGAAACCTGTTATCAAAGGTAGGGGGGTGCGGGCGTTTCGCTACATAAAGTATATAATACTAGAATAAAACATCGGTAAAAAACCGTTTCCTGAATCATTCTCCCCGGTCATCTCCATGGGGGGTTGTTGGGGCAGCTGGCTGGTGGGTTGCGGCTTGTGGCTTGTGAGCTGGCGGCTTGGCGCATGGGGCAGGTGGAAGCTATGACGCGGGAGTACTCGATGCTTATGGATTCGATAATTATGTTGAGTGAGTGGACAATGAGGAAGTTGGCTTATTGACGAAAATATTCAGAAGCGCTAGTTTTTATGGAAATTTGCAAGAGTGGAAGATCCCACTACATATCGTAAACGAGCTAAAAATATAAATATAATTGTGTCGGTATTTGACACCGGCTTAGAGACAAAATTGTAGGTCTTGCATAAACGAACGTCCTCCCCAAACTCATACCACCGACCCACACCCTTCCCCTCTCATCTCCTCTCCCTCCAAAAAACCTCGCTTTCTCACCATCCACCTACCCTAATTCTTCACCATCCTCCCCCCCCTAACCCCAACCCCACCTTCCCCCTCCTCCCCATCATCTTCATCCTCCTTGTCGCTGCCCCCCTCGTCTTCACCCTCGCGAATATCCCATGACTCATCACCATCCTCTGAACCATCACTTTCCTCTTGAAAGAAACTTTTCCAACCCCCGCCATCCAATAATCTGAAAAGCTCTCCATCGGACCTGAGGCGCGAAGGACAGCCACGAATTTTAAACCCCCGCTCCATAGGCATTGCCAGGAGAGCCGGCGGGATCTCAGAGAGTTGCTCGCAGTCAACCAAATCTAGTGCCTCCAGCCGGGGCAGCTGCAAAAACGACTCGGGCAAGCTTTGAAGGTTCGGCAGGCTCTCAAGCTCCAGAAACCGGAGAGAAGAAAGTTTCCCAAAGTCATATGGAATGCTTGAGATTCCCACAGCTTGAAGCGTGCACCGCTTCAGGCAAGCCAGATTGGGAAACGAGTCTGGAAGCCTGACCAGATTGGAGCAGAACAGTATCTTCAGAGTCTGTAGCTTCTTCAGCTGCCCCAGCGAGTCAGGCAGCTCACACAAACTGTCAAGAAAACCTAGTACGAGGGAACTAAGGCATGAGAGCTGTCCAAGGTTTTCAGGAAGTGCTTCCAGCTTTTCCAGGTTCCAGATTTCAAGCCTTTGCAGCTGCGACAGGCTTGAAATGGAAACGGGAAGCGACGACAGGTGCTCCATGTAAGAGAGTTCCAGCGCTGTCAGAGAAGATAGCAGGCCCAGGGACGGCCCAAGGGATTCAAACGGAAGATTTTCGAGCTCGAGACTCTGAAGGGACGGAAGCAGTGGACCGATGTCACTCCTGCTGCTGGCGATGGTGCTGTTACTGCTGCTGCTGCTGCTGCCGCGGGCGCTGTTACTGCTGCTGCTGCTGCTGCCGCTGGCGCTGTTACTGCTGCTGCTGCTGCTGGCGCCGTTATTGTTACTGCTGCTGCTGCTGGCGCTGCTACTGTTACTGCTGCTGCTGCTGGCGCTGTTACTCTTACTGCTGCTGCTTTTGGTGCTGTTACTGTTACTGCAGCTGCTGATGGCGCTGCTACTGCTGCTGCTGCTGCTGCTGCTGGCGCTGTTACTGTTACTGCTGCTGCTGCAGCCACCTGAGACACTGCTGGCAGCAGCAGCACCTGCTCCTTGGCCCTGCTCAACACCTCTCACCGCTTCATCCCCCAAGATCGTTTTAAGCCTGGAGCACTTCCGCACCACCAGCACCCGCAGCCGGGGCAGCTCAACCAGCGACTGCGGGAGAGAATCCAGACCGTCCAGCTTGGAGATCTTCAGCTCTTCGAGTGCTCCCAGCCGTCCGATATCCGCAGGTAACTCATTAATCTCCGGGCAGCTTGATACTAGCAAGCTGGTGAGGGCGACAAGGCCGGAGATGGACGCAGGCAGGGCCGACAGGTGGCGCATGGCGCAGAGAGACAGCTTCTTGAGGCTTCTCAGGCCGCCAAACCCCTCTGGCAGCTCGCCTCTGAAGCTATCTGCTAGCAAGATCCGTAGGGTTTCGAGAGATGTGAGGCAGGAGAAGGATGGGGGGAGGTGGGTGAGAGCAGTGCAGCACAGCAGGCGCAGATGTCGCAGGCTAATCAGGTCGCTCCCCATGCCTTCGGGCAGCTGCTGCAGCCGCGGGCAGTCGTCAATTTTCAGGTCCTGCAGGTTCGGCAGATTTCCAAAGGATTCGGGCAGCTGCTGCAGCCGCGGGCAGTCGTCAATTTTCAGGTCCTGCAGGTTCGGCAGATTTCCAAAGGATTCGGGCAGGTGTGTCAGCTCTGGCAGGTCAGCCATGCGCAGCGTCTCTAGAGCAGCCAGCTGCCCGAAATCCTCGGGCAGCGAAGTCAGGTTTCGGAGTCGTTCGAGGGAAAGGGTTTGGAGCGCAGTGGCCAGAGTGATGGAGTCAGGCAGGCTTGTGAGGCTGAGGCCCTCAGCACCGTAAGTCTCTTTGAGGTTCAAACTCTGAAGCTTTGGTAACAGCCCGATGTCGTCAGGCAGTACGGAAAGTGTTTTGACCTCCAGGTTAAGGCCTGTGAGGGAAGTCGGCAGGGAAAGAGACCTCGGCAGAGTCACTACACCGGAGTAGTCCGTCAGGGAAAGGAGCTTCAGCCGCTGCAGCTGCCCGATGGATTCTAACAGGTCTGGCGTCAGATCTTCAACGGTGTCCACGAGAAGGGTTTCGAGTGCCGGGAGCTTCCCGAGACCTTCGGGCAGCAAAAGAGTAGAGTACATATCGTGATTCCGAATCTCCAGAAAAGAGAGGCTGGTAAGAGAACCAGGGAGCTGAAGACTGTCGCAGTCACTGATGGAAAGACGGGTGAAACCAGCAAGTTGGGAAAGAGATTCTGGAAGTGACTCCAACTTATAACATTTTTCCAGGTGCAGCGACTCCAGAAGGGTCATCTTCCGGATATCCCGCGGCAGATCCTCCAGCTTGGACATGTCGAGCACGAGGCGTCGGAGTGACTGTAACGAGGTGAACGTGTCGGGAAGGAGTTTGACCCCGCGTGCGACGAGGTGCAGGCTCGTGAGCGAAGCGAGGCGGCCGATGGAGGGAGGAATGGCTTCGATGTAGTCCTTGCAATACAGATGAAGATCCTCCAACCGAGTGCACTTGCTGAACAGGGAGGAAAGCGCATCCTCGGAAAAGCTATGCCAGCAGTAGGCTCGATCCATGGCGCCAATGTAAAGCTCGGTCAGGTCGGGACACGTGTCGGCGATGCGAAAGAGGATGGAATCAGGGACGTGGGTCATGCTGAAAGGGGAGATGACGATTTTCCTGAGCCTTGGGATTGACGAGAGCTGCTGAAGCACGTGGCTAGGAGTGGAGAAGCTGTTTAAGGGGATGCGGATCTGGTCTCGCACGCGACACGCGATGTCGTGCCAATGCTTGCACACGAGAGCGTGGTCGAACTGGTTGTCGTCGGATCTGATGATAGCGACAGATTGGAGGATCCTGGAGAGCAGGTCGTCGGGTAGCCGTTGGATCGGCGAGTCCTCATGCGTCGTGACTAGAAGGGGGATCGGCATGATAAGCGGATATCTCTTTCGGCTTCGATCTGACGCACGGAAGCAAGAAAATGAAGCTCGGATGACTAAGCCCGCTATCGGCAGAAGGGTAATAATTTAATGTACTAACTGCTGAACTGCGTCTGACGAGCGGAGAGCAACTCTTTGGTCCGATAAATGGCTTCGATAAATAATGGAGTTCCAGGATCATAGGAGGGTGACAAATCGTAGAGTTACAGGATCATAGGAGGGTGACAAATAATGGAGTTTCAGGACCAGGAAACTTGACATCGCGAGTTACGGAGTTTCCTAGGGTTGGGTTTGCCATGGGGGTTTGCCTGCTTCCGTGAACCCAATGGAAAGGAAAGACGGAGGCTGGAGAGGGGAGGAGACTAGCCACCTGCGTGGGAACAGTAACCGTCCGACGTCGCCACCAATAAAACTGGGCGTTTGATGTGCCGAACTTATGACGACGTCCAACGACTGTCGACGATTTCTCTCGCCTTTCGCGAAATTCGTAAATCACCTCCAACAACCCAAGGAAGACATCAGAAACTGGAGGATACACCTAGCCCGCGCTATTATTACACCCTGAAACTGGGCGGCAGAAGAAGTTTTGTTTCCTTCCTGACCATTTCTGAGTGCGTAGACAGTACCCCCTTGTTCCTACAGTCTAAGCTTGGCAGGCTCCGCGCGGGCAAAAACTTTGAGCATTGCCTAAGCTGACGTCGGGTTTCCTGACTCGAGAAACACTAAATCGTCAGTAAACGTTTCGTATAGAAACCCAAGTTCGAATTGTTTTTCAAGAGTATCCGGATCTGGTCTTCAGGAGCTGCTTTCGTGGGGTGAAAATTGCTGTTGCTGTGCTGTTGCTGTTGCTGTGAGCTGGCGCTGTGGTGGGCTGGGACGAGCTTATTGGTGGTGGAAAAATCAGGCCGGAGATCAGCCGAACAGTCAGCGACGAAAATATTTTGCAGCAATCTCGATGCTGACAATAGCGGTAGAAAGTCATGGTTTTGTAGAAATGGTGGTCTGTTACAGCTTGATTAGTGCTTTAAGATCGGGAAAGTGCACAATTCCATTTACATACTAGCACGTTCTGTACAATAATAAATAGCATTACACAAGTGACAACCCCACATGGCATTTGACCCCACCTAGGCAAGCATAGTCATGGTCATGGCTAATAATAATAGAGTGGTCCCCTGTGACTCGATACCACATCCGCATCCCTTCTGCAGCAAACAAGCCCCATCAACCAACCCACTGGCAATTGTTTTACAACCAGCATGCATAAAGGCAGCTTGTTTACCCCTATGCCTTGGAATGAGCTGAAACAAATGACTGGCAGCTGCATGAGAACAAAATCAAATCTCTGATGCGTGCTCAACCAGTCATGTAATCTGCAGGAGGTACCTCCCAACAGCAGTCACCAAGCATCTCCTCACCCCCACCATTACACCTCCCCATCCCCATGTCAGTTGATTGAGACGAATCAGAGCTGAATCGCTGCTACCTGCAGCTGGCAGGCAGGATAACACACGCCATCACCGCCGTTTTCTTCGACAGTACCTTGAGAGTTAATCGAAAACGGGGAAAAGGAACATCAATCCACCACAGGGGGACAGGAACCATCCGCCTTTCACCAACCCTCCCTGAGCGCACCCACATTTCTCCGTCGTCATCCGTCATCATACGTCGCATCAACACCCTCCGCCACCTCTGTTGCCGGCACGAACTAAGTCAGTAGGATAGTTAACGAGGCGTGTCAGGTGTAAACCTCGGATGTTCCGACACGTGCATCAGGCACGGCGGCACGAGCCAGCCGACCGTCGCCATGGCCCCTCCCGCACCGCCTCCATGCTCCAGCGCCTGTATCCTCTCATGTAGCAGATCCCTTTCCAGTCTTAATCTCTTAACCTCCACTTTAGCGACGTCCAACGCGCGGAGGTATTCTTCCGCTCTCGCGACGCTCCGCTTCCCCTGGGATATGATTTCCGCGTCCTCCTCCCGCTCGTCTACCAGAACCGCTAGTTCTCGTCTTAGGGTTTCGATCCGACGGTCCGCAGCCTGCACCGCGACTTCCTTTTCCCGCCGGACGGCTGCCAGCTTGGCGCTGACGGAAGCCAGGTCAGCTTTGGCGGTTGCTGACTCAGCTAAGGCGGCTGCCAGGCTGGCTTCGAGCTCCTTCACGCGCCGTCGTAGGTGCTCTACTTCGGCTGTGTCAGCATCCCCGTTAAGAGACACACTCGAGAAAGTGCCGTTTGCGAGCCCGTTGCCTTGGCGACCGTGCATGACCGCTGCAGTGAAGCTATGAAAAAGAAAGAAAGAACGTCTTTGGAGGAACGCAGGTATGGCCTACGCCAGGTGCCTATGCTTCAGTGGTGTTCACAGCAAGCGACGAGCAGCAGAAGTAAAGCGCGCGGGAGGGAGCAGCAGCAGCGAAGTTACGGTTGGCAGAGGCATACGCAGAGCAGACGCAGAGGCAGACACCAAGGTTGGGGCAGTCGCAGGCTCGCAGCGGGCGAGGCAGGGGCAGTTGCATCAACAGAAAGCAGCAGGGAAGCGCGGGTAGGGGGAGGGCGGGTGTATGGATGGGTGGATCAACACCATGAAGGTCAAGCAAAGCAGAGAAAGCAAGAACAGCAGTTCGGCTCGACTCGATTAGGAAGGCCTCGCCTCGAATACAACAGCCGCGTGTTGCAGCAGCAGTACAGTTTCAGGAAACCTGAACATTAGCTACACATACACTTACTTGCTTTTGGAAATATGTTACACACAAAATTTCGCATAAAACGATGAATTAAAAACTACACTCAAGGCAAAACCTACAGATTATAGCATGCTTTATTGTCCCCATGCAGCTACCATTCGAGCAATGCTTGCTTTCTCCTTCTCATCAGCTTCACTTGTCTCTGGCATGCACAACGCAACAGAAAGTGCAACATTAGAACCTGAGAGATGAAAGGGAGGAGCGCTCTCCCCTGAAGGTGAACAAATCGCATGCAAAAAATGGTGGAGAATTTTGTGAGGGAGGATAGATTGGGAGAGGGGGGCGTCGGGGGAAGAGGGGGGGGAAGACGAGAAGGTGCTTGGCTCTTTTGCTTCTCTCCCCCCCAACTACTGTCACGTCTCCTACTTACCTCGATCAAACTGCAAAGTCGGTATCTCCCCTCGCTCCTTGTTCCCCGTCCACTCCTGAATCGCCTCGTCCCATCGCCCAATCACAATGCGACACGTGGCTTGCTGGCGGTGCCAGCCGGGAATCTCCCCTCTTCCCCCTGGCTCCGCACTCGCACCCTCCTCCAGCAGTCCCTCCTTCTCCCCACTCCCACTCTTCTCCCTCCAACCCCCACTCCCCTCCTCGGTCCTCCTCACACCCACTTCCTCATTCCCACCCTCACTCCCTCTCCCACCCTCACTCCCTCTCCCACCCTCACTCCCTCTCCCACCCTCACTCCCTCTCCCGCCCTCACTCCTTTTCACACCATCACTCCCTCGTCCCGTCCCCCGCCTCTGTTGTCCCGGCAGCATGACAGCATCAGGCCATGCCGGGCCAACATACAGCGGTGCAAGAAACACAGACCGGCTTGTAGACGCCGCCACCGTGGCAGTCGCTGCTGCTGCTCTTGCCGCTCCTCCTCTTGCCCCTCCTCCTGCTTCTGCTGCTGCTGCTGCTCCTGTTGCAGCTGCTGACTGAGCACTAACCCGTTCTTTACATGCTGCCACAGTGACCCGATGCTGACCTGGCATCTGTTGATTCGGCTGCACCGGCTGCTGGCCTGGCAGCGCCGCACTCCCGTGCAAGCCGCCAGGTGGCAGCATGTGAGGAGGAGCAATGCTCTCCTGAGTGTCAAAAGGGAACTGTTGAGAGTCTATGGGGTTCTGAGAGGGGTAGAAGCTCTGCTGTGAGGAGAAGAGAGTTTGTTGCGAGTCAAAGTTGCCGGGGTGGGAGGCAAAGGGCGTTGCTTGGGAGGCGAATAGGCTTTGTTGCGATGCAAAAGGGAAGTGCTGGGAGGAGGAGAGGTGCGGAGGTTGAGATGACACGGAATGCCCAGACGGATTGGTAACGTCAGCGGCACCACCACCAGCACCACCAGCACCACCAGCACTACCCGCACCACCACCAGCACCACCCTGGTCGTTTTTCTCCCCCATGAGCCCCAAGCGGCCCAGGGACAGCAGGGCTGAGTCCACCAGCTGTCCACGTGCTACCATGTGGCGCTCGCTGATTGGCTGGGCGAGATGGGCATCTGCTGCTGCCGCCTCTGCTATCTCATGACTGGATTGCAGAAAGGGGAGGAGAAGAATGATATGGATAAGGCAATAAGTAATGAAGTTGAAGGCAATAATGATTTTTTTTGTTGCCTTAATGAAGGAGTGCCAAGCCTTGCAAGGTGCAAAAAATTAGGCGGTTTTCATTATTATTTATTTATTTGACCATATGGTACGTAGACATGGTTAAATCGCATCGCATCGCGTTATATCGTATTTTGCGATAGCGATTTTTTTTTTTTTTTATTTATTTTAAGAATATCGCGGCGATGCGATAGCGCGATAAAACGCGATAAGCGATAAAAAGATATCGCGCGCGATACTTTCGCGTTTCGCGTCACGGAATTTCGCCAGCAAGGGGAGGGACATGGGCGAGGGCCCTGAACTTAAAGAAAATAGATGGTAAGCTAGTCTAGGTTTCTCTTGCTGAATGGCATGCGGAAATGGCAAGCGGCAGTTTGGGGGGGGGGAGGAGTTTGTGTGAGGAGCAGAGCTTGGAGCACATTAGAGGAAGGGTTGGAGATTCTAGATGGGAAGGAGTGCAGTGTGGTTGAGGGAGGGGAGTTTGGTGGGGGTTCAAATTTGTTATGGTTGGTGGCTAAGTTGGTTCCTTACGTTACGTTTACGTACGTGTACGTTTACGTTTACGTACGTTTACGCGATTCTGGTTTTTGGCCTGTATGTACGGGCAGCCAAAAACTTTTTAGGCTGCCCAAGGGAAAAAATGAGGGGGGATGGAAAGTCGACTTTTTGTAAAAACGTTTGTAGGTTCTGATCTTCTAGTACAGTAGAAGATTATCACGAGTGCGGTGCGACGAAAGTACAAAATTGTTTGGCGAAATTCCGCATGCGCGAAATCTCGTCGCTGGTGCGCGTCAAATTTGGTGCGCCGGCAATCCAACCAGCCAATGAACAACCCCTACCTGACCCAACCCAACCCCCCTCGACATGTGTTTCTCCTTCCCCTGTCGACGAATGCCAATCGCTAACCTTACTCCAGCGACAATCAAGTCTAGACTACGTAGCATCTTACGACTATGAGGAGCGCGGATACTATCAGCGCAACGAATTAAGTTGCGACTTAGATTGATGGGGTGGATCAGTGCGAAGCGTAGGCATCAGCCGTAGCTTAGCCCTGAACAGCTTAGTAGTAGCTGCAAATCGCGTTTTCTTAGGGAGAAATTTTTGCCCGGGAAATTTTTTTGAGGCCTGCCCGGCGACGTACACGTAACGTACGCGTAACGTAACGTACACGTAAAGTTACGCGTACTTTACGTGTACGTGGGCTTAAGTCACGTAAGGTACCAACTTAGGTTGGTGGTGGGTGGCGGGCGAGTGGGTTTTCTGGATGGGATGTGGTGGTGTGCTGTTGAAGGGATTTAGGGGGTTGGACTGAAATCTCGACCCCCAAAGTCAATTGGTTGGAGCTCCAACCAATTTCCACCACTTCAACCGCACTAATCTCCCCTACATCTACAGAATCCAACCCCTTCCCCTCAAACACGCTCCACATGAGAGAAGGACCACGATATTCCCACCTCCCGTCAATTCACTTACCTAATTCCGCGTGAACCTAGAAGAGCCACCATTGTCGTGCCCTTTGGTGTGGGAACACGTTTTTTAGGGCGGGAAAACAGTGGCCCCTAAATGCGATGCGATATTATATCGCATCGCGCGATGCATCGCTTTTTTGAGGCGATATTTTTAAATACCGCCCCCTAAAACGCGATATGCGATTTCGGTTTTTTTTTTTACATATCGCAGCGATGCGATGTCGCATCGCTGCGATATAATGCGCAATAAGAAAGAATGCGATGCGATATTGCATCGCATCGCGTTTTGACCATGTCTAATGGTATGGCACCGATTTTTTCCGGCCGTATGATACGATAAAAAACGGTCAGAAAAGTGTCATTGTGAGGGTGGTGCAGAAAAAGCCGTTTTTAGTTTACCAGCTGGTTTTATATGGCCGCTGGTTTACACGGAATATATGCCCTTTTTTTTTTAACCAGCTAGAATATATGGCCGAAAAGCATGGATATGGCATTTTGACCGTCGAAATTTGCAGATCTCGCGCTTCGGCCTGCGAAATGCAAGAACGCACTTCGCCCTGTCAAATTGTGCGGATATCACGTTTTGGTGGGCGAAATACGCGGATCTGTTATGTGCGTGAATCCGAAAAAGAAAAGAAAACAACCAAAATGTTCAAACAAAAAAAAACGGCGTATTTTAATAAAAAATGGCTGAAAAATACGATCGTACTACATGGGCCGTATAATACAATTCCTGTATTTTGGCCCGTTGAATGAAGCCTTGGGCAACAGGAAGGAAAGGAGGAAGATAGAAAAGGAGGAGAGGGTAGAACAAAAACCGGGACCACACATACCAAACGGCGACACAAAACGAAAGAGATATGCAGTTGTAATGTCATACGTACCAGAACAACAATGCCACAATCCCATGCATCCACCACCTACAACTCACCATGTCAGCGGCCATGCCGTCTTGGTGTCTTCTGTGCAGATCTCCACTACTCTACCCATAGATACCTCCAAGCCCCCTTCCTCCCGCTGCTGCTGCTGCCTCCTCTCCGGCACCTCCCATCCCACACCCCCCTCCCTCCCGCTCCTACCAACCTCAGCATCCAGCGCAGAGCGAACGTCTGCGTAAGGGCGAGGGGGTGGGAGAAGGGATAGGGTGCGCAAAAGCAGAAGGGATTTTTGAGTCGACTCGAAAATCACCTAGGGTGCGCAAACACACAAGGGAAGGAAGACGAGAGGTGAGGGAAGCAAGGATAGCACCTGCCGCCCCCCATCTCCCTCCCTCCCTCCCGCTCCTACCAACCTCTGCATCCAGCGCAGAGCGAACGTCTGCATGAGAGCAAGGGGAGTACAGGAAGGGAGGGGGAGTGCGAAGACTGGTGAGTGAGGTGTGGCACGGATAGCACCTGCCATCCGTTATCTCTCTCCCCCCTACTCGTACAAAGGTCTGGGTCCAGAGCAGAGCAATCGTCTGCATGAGGGCAAGGGGAATGCTAGAAGGCAGGGAGTGTGAGGCTAGAAGGACTGAGCGAGGGAAGTGTAAGAGTGGGAGGGAACTGCGACGAAGGGACAGAGTGTGCAAAGAGTGTGCAAAGAGTGTGCAAAGAGTGTGCACAGAGGAGAGGAGAGGTAGGTTACTTCATCAACTTCAGCAGCGTAGTGCGCTCACAGTGTACCACCTTAGGCACAAAGCACAGCACTCACATGTGCGGACTTGTCACTATTCCGCTTCACCACAGGTGCTTGAGACAGTCACACCAAGAATGTAGGGACCAGCGTCAGCTTACTGCAGTGCACTCACATTCTGCCACGTTCGGCAGCTGAATGGTGTACGATCGAGGTGCTACCAGCTTGTCACTCTTCCGCTTCACCACGGGTGCTTCCTCCAACGCACCAGCAGCAGCTGCTGCTGCTGGCAGCACCAACGGAAACCTCCCTCCCCCAGAAGATCCCTCTCCTGTCTTTCCCCCCCTCCTGCCACTCCTCTTCCTCTCACTGCTCCTGTCTTCAGAACTCATAAACATACCATCGTCCTCAGCCTCCTCTTCCTCCTCTCCCTCCTCTCCCTCCTCCTCTCCCCCCTCTTCTCCTAAAAAACCCTTCTCTCTTCTGTCCTCCTCCTCTCCTAATCCTCCTCCTCTCTGTTTCCTTTTGCGTCGCCTTCCCTCCCACTCCATGCCGTACGATGCCGCCCACACGTCTCCAAGCCTCGTCAGCTGAACAATATCAAATCTTCCCAATGATACCCCCTTACCCTCCCCCTCACTCTTCTCCTTAGCAAGAACCTCCTTGCTACAGCCCCCCTCGTTAAAGCCATCCTCACACCCCCTTGCCCCTATTAATTGGCTAGCAAGGCAAGAAACGTTACGATCACATGGCCAGGTGCTTATACAGGCGAGGCCTGCGATTGGAGCGAGGGCAGTGCCCGCCACGTGGAGCGACGGGATTGGCTGAGACGCCTGCAGCACGTCCACAGGATCCAGGGAGCGCGGCAGGATGCTTCTGGGTCGCTTCCTCTCGAAGGGGGTCGGGATCTCTAGGGGGAGGAGGGCAGGAGTGGAGACGAGCTGAGAACCCTTGGGTTTGGGTGTAGGCCGCTGTATTAACGAAGATGCTTGTAACGAGGATGCATGCTTGCTGTTGCACCCAGTGTCTTTATTCACTTCTTCCCGTCGGATTCCTTTCTTCTCCACCTTTCCCTCCTCCCCTTCTGCTTCTTCATAGCCATCTTCCTCCTGCTCTTCCTCCTCCTCCTCCTCCTCCTCCTCCTCCTCCTCCTCCTCCTCCTCCTCCTCCTCCCCTTCCTCCCTGTCTGCTGCTTTTATCATCATGCCCTTTGTTACAGTCACATCCGCACCACCAGCACAGGAGGGGAAGGGCGCCGCAGCCACGGCTGCCAAGCCTCCAGACAAGGCTCGGAAAAGGTGCGGCGTGCGCTGCTGGGCAGCCGTGAAGCGTTTCGCTGCCCGACGGGCAGCAGCAGCTTCGGTCTTAGCTGCTGCTGCTGCCTCTGCTGCTGCTGTTCCTGCTGGTACTCTTGATCCAGCGACAGCAGCAGCAGCAGCAGCAGCAGCAGAGGAAGTGCAAAGGGGAGTGACAGTAGTGAGAGCGATGGGGCATGTGACGACCCTGCCTGAACCCAAGGCGGCTGCAGTGAGAGCGATCTGAGGTGGGGGGGCTGGAAGCAAGGGGAGAGAGAGAGGGAGGAAGAGAGGACAGAAAACAGGGTCGGTATCAAAACACACACTTTGATTCCAAGGAGACTAAACAGTTTTGAGGCGCCTCAAAACCGCACGCACTTTGGTTTTAAGAAGACTAAAAGTTGAATTGCCTGCTGCCGTCAGTCAGCACGTAGGCGCAAAACGGTGGATACTTCTCAAAGAGAAAAAATCCACTATCACAGGTGAATGGCACCCGAACGCTTACCTTTGGCATCGTGAAGAGGGTGGGAGGCCCATCCACAGTCATGCGTGTGTGCAACTGCAGCAGCTGTCAGGGAATCACCACTGCAGTTGCTGCGCAACTCAAACCCTCACTCGCTTACCTTTGCCATCGCGAAGAGGCGTGAAGGGCATGGGAGGCCCAGCCACAGTCAGTCAAGCGTGTGTGCGGCTGCAGAAGTTTCTACCCAACCATAACCCTAGCCTCACCCTTGCCATTGTGAAGAGGCGTGAAGGGAGTGGGGGGGCCATCCATCGACACTCTGAGTATGACTGCAGCAGCTGTGCCGGCATCAAACAAGACGCTGCCGAAGTGGATCCATAATTGGGGGAGTCAACTGGCCTGCACGCTAGCCCTCACCTTCATTGTAGTGCAGAGGTGAGAACGGAGCGGGAGTCAGGTGGCCTGCATGCTGTGAAGGCCCTCACTCACCTTTACTGTCATGCAGAGGTGCGAAGGGAGTGGCAGGCCCATCCACGGCCACTCTCGAGTGCGACTGCAGCAGCTGAGACGGTATCACACGAGACGCTGACGGGGATCTGTTATTGGGCGGGTTGACAGCTCCAGTGCTGCTCCCTCGTCCGTGATCGGCTGCTGTTCTGTATCGCCCATCCCCTTTATAAGCTGCTCCGAGGTAGTTGAAGTGCAGCAGGCGAGGTGGGTCGTCCTCCATACCGTGCTCCCACTGACCGGAGGAGGAAGGAGGGGCGGATAGAGAGGTAGGGTACAAGAAATAGGACGTGAGACGTGGGTTGCTATGAGATATGATAGTCACGTGCACAGTGCACCAGGCGAGGTGAATCATCCTCCATACTGTGCTCCCACTGAGTGGAGGAGGAAGGAGGGGCGGATAGAGAGGAGGATCCATAGTGTGAGGGTTGTGGAACCAGGGTGGAAGGGACTAGGTAAGTGGTGACGACAGGCACTAAAGGAGCCTTGGTTCTCCAAACAACCTGCTGACTCACATGTACCAGCCAGGTGCCCCAATGACCTGAGGACTGGGCTGAGTTGTGGAGAGAGGGGAGCATGGGAAGGGGAGCGTCGAAGGGGTATGGGGAGGGGCGTGGGGAGGGGAGCATGGATATAGTCTCACCTGCAGCAGCGGTGCAACAGTGTTGCGCAGATCAAACAGCATCACCAGGCGACTGGAGGCCACGGCAAACCAGCGGCTGTCCAAGTAACCAGTAGAGCATCCGGCCTTTGAGAATGGAGGAGAGGCGAGGAAGGAAGGGGGAGGGGAGGTGGAGGCGGATGTGGCTAGAGCGCAGAAGGACTGGCGGAGGACGGGGGCGTGGGAGGGCAGAGTGGAGAGGGACGACGGCAGCGAGTGCTGTGGCAGCTGCCCCGCTGATACCAGTCTCATCCCAACTCCCCTCTCTCCTCCTCTCGCTCCTCCGCCCACTCCTGCTCCTGCTCTCCCCGCAAACGCGCCTCTCTCCTGCTGCTTGCCACCCGGGTTCAAGCCCATTCGGAGGTCTACCATTCCAATCTGGTCGGCACAGGCAGTCAGCAGCAGGTGGGGTTCCCCATCGCCCATATACTCGCACTGCCACCACCCCTCCCACCCTAGCCTCCCCTCCGCTTCTCTCCACCTCACCTCTTCCTCCCACCGCTTCTTCCGAGCCTCTTCCGTCTCCTCCCCCGAACCTAGTCCCAAGCCTGCGCCCAGACCTGCTGCCGTACCGGGCCTGCCCCAGCCTCGGACCGGACCTCCCAAGGCAACTCCGCCAATGGGGGTGGTCCAATCCGCCAAGCCTCTTCCCCCAGCTGCTGCTGTTGCAATTTCGTCTGCACCAGCTTTACCAGCTTTTAACGAGGATTTAGTGTAGTTACTGTAGCCGTAATCCCTGCTGCCTGGTGCTGGTCCAAGGGGGATGGGACGGGCTAGGATTGTGGAAGAGGAGGGAGAGGAGGAGGGAGGGGAGGAGGAGGGGTAGGAGGAGGAGAGAGAGGAGGGGAGTGAGGAGGAGAGTGAGGGAGGGGGATGGTGCAGGTCGATCACTTGCAGTCGGCCGGTGGAGGTGATGAGGGCGAGTTGAGTGGGGACAGGGGAGGAGGGGAGGGGGCGGAAGGCAACCTACAAGGGGAAGAGTGGGGGGATAGGGATGGGGGGGGGGAAGAGAAAGCGTGAATGACTTGCAGACGGCCAGTGGTGGTGATGAGGGCGAGTTGATTGGGGACTGGGGAGGAGGGGAGGGGGCGGAAGGCAACCTACAAAAGAGAAAACGGAGAGGGGAGAGGGAAAGCAGGGAGGAAAGAAAGTGCTAATGACTTGCAGACGGCTCGTGGTGGTGATGAGGGCGAGTTGAGTGGGGAAGCAGAGAGGGGTGGGATGATGAGCGCAGTGAGGACAAAAAAGGACGGGATGGAAGAGAAGAGAAGCATCAAAGAACTGCAGGATATAGCATACGGAGATGCGGGGGAAGACAAGAAATGCGAAAAAGGGGCAGCATTGACAGTTCTGCCCCGGCCTGATCCACGTGCCTAAGATCTTTGCATACGTGTGCAAGGGGCGTTGGGGAGGCGAACGACGCGAGAAGCTTCGCCTTGAGCTCCGCAGCAGACGGCTCTCCATCCACCATCTCTCCATCATCAGCCATCTCCCCCTCCCTATCTGTACCGCAGCCGCTGCCATCACCATTGCACCCATGCGACAGACCCAGCAGGTGGACGTGGTGCAAAGATCGAGCCGCCACGTGGCAGGTCATAATTTGCTGCTGCTGCCTGCCTGTTCCCTGCTGCTGCTGCCGTGAAGGCATGTGTGGCCTGTTGCTCCCCCACCCCTCTCGATGGTTGACGGAGGATGTTTCCTCGCAGTTTCTGGAAGCAGGGGCTGGTTGGTCGCCCCATTCACCACTGTTGAAAGCTGTGAGCTGCGAACCGCGGGTTGGGGGGTGTGGGTGGCACGTTGCAACAGGCCGAGACATGGTACAAGGGGGTGCGATACGGTGCAAGGGGGTGAGATGCGATACAAGGGGGTGTGACGCGTCATCTACGCAAGGCATCCCACGTATGTGTGGACTTCCTACATGTTTCACTCAACTGCGTGAACCTGTGTGCCTGCCCGCGTGCATTGATCTTGTGCACCACCAGTGCCTCGCCATTGCAGTGCCAGAGCAGCGCCAGTGCAGCGCCAGTGCAGCGCCAGTGCAGCGCCAGTGCAGCGCCAATGCAGCGCCAGTGCAGCGCCAGTGCAGCGCCAGTGCAGCGCCAGTGCAGCGCCAGAGCAGCGCCAGTGCAGCGCCAGTGCAGCGCCAGTGCAGTTTCCGCCTGTGTTTCCTCCTGCTCGCCCCTCCCTCTTCCCTTCCCCGCTTACCTCTCTGCTGCAGAATATTCTTCCCCTCTCTGCTGGTGACTTTTGAGTCGACTCAAAAGTCCCCGCTTACCAGCAGGATATTCTTCCCCTCTCTGCTCCCTCGCACCACACACCCCTGCGCCCCTCCCTTCTCACTAGGCCCCCTCCCCCCCTTATTTCATCTCCCTTCTCTCATCTCCCTTCTTTCATCTCACCTTCCCCACTCTGTCTGCTCCCTCGTACCACACGCCCCTGATCGCAAACAACCCACGGTTCCACCCAGAACTTCAAATCCCACCTCCCCCACTAGATGCCTCCCCATCAATCTCTCTCCCAACCCCTCTCTCCGCTCTCCTCTCACCTGCAGAATCTTCTTCCCCACTCTGCTCCCACGCACCACACACCCTTGCGCCTCTCCCTCTGCCGCGCCAATGCTCCCCGAACCTCGCCCGGAGGCTCGGGAGGAGGACGGGGAGGAGTGGGTGGTGGCGGCAAGGCAGTCGTAGCGATGACCCGAGGGGAAGAGGAGGAGGTGCGAGGAGGGGGTCTGGTAGTTGGGGTGTGTGTGCGGAGGGGTTTGGGGGGGGAGGGGGGGGGGGGGAGGGGGGTTTGCATGGGAGTGTGGGGTGGGGCAACACAGCAAGGCAGCCGTAGGGGTTACCCGGGGGATAGAGGAGATGCGAAGCGGGGTCTGGTAGATTGGGGTGAGTGGGGGAGGTTGGGGGGGGGGGGGGGGGGGGGGGGGAGGGGGAGGAGGGGGTTTTGTATGAGAGTGTGGGGTGGGGCAACACAGCAAGGCAGTTGCAGCGGGAGCCGGAGGGGAAGAGGAGGAGGTGAGAGGAGGGGGTCAGTGATGGGGGGAAGCGGAGGGGAGAAGAAAGGGTGATCTGGAAGGGAAGCGGTTGCAGGAGCAGCAAACGTGGGTCGAGGCAGTCGTAGTGATCGCCGAAGGGGAACAGGAGGAGGTGCGAGGAGGGGGGTCTGGTTGTGACTCGTGAGTGCATGTGTGCGAGTGCATGTGTGTGAGTGCATGTGTGTGGCGGTAGGGGTGGGAGGGGAGGGAATTGGGGAAGTGAGGGGTGAGAGTGAGGAGGAATTGAGGTTGGGGAGTTGGGATCATTAGTCCATAAAATCAGCAGAGGAAGGGGAACTAGTAAGATAGTCAACAGACAAGCAATAGATTACTCAGCAGGTCACCATCCCTACAACGGCACGGCGACGGAAGTGTCTAGACACGAGTGAGTGTACCAAAAGTGATTGCACGGAAGGTGATCTTACACAAAGTGACTTTGTAACGATCTTTACCAGGGGGAGAGCAAGCAGTCGGTTCCCCAGCGTTGCGTCTCCTCCTGCCAGCGTGGCAAGCTTGTTGTCCACGTCAGCGCTGACTAGTCGGTGCAGCAGGGAGGTCGGCACGGCGCCATTAACGTTGGAGGTATACCACCGCACTTGCTGCACTGGGGGAGGAGGGGGGGGTAGGGGGGGGTAGGGGGGGGTAGGGGGGGAGGGATAAGGACAAAGGGCAAAAAGGAGTTTAGCTATACGGTCAGAACAGCAGCATCACGTGTTGACGTTGGTGGTACACCACCACACTTGCTGCGCTGGCAAAGGGGGAGGAGGAGGAGGAGGAGGAGGAGGAGGAGGAGGAGGAGGAGGAGGAGGAGGAGGAGGAGGAGGAGGAGGACGGCGACGACGACGACGACGACGAGGAGGAGGAGGACGAGGAGGAGGAGGAGGGAGCAGAAGAAGAGGGACGGTAGGGAGAGCGGGAGAAGGAATCCGATCGGATCGGACAAAGAACTAAATCCGATCCTGGAAGATTTGATTGCTTCATTTCTTTGTCTCTACTCTCCCCTCCCCCTCTCCTGCTTCTCCCTGCCATCCCCTACCGCCCGCCTCATGCGGCAGCACGTTCAGCCATTCATCCCCCCTCACCCACCCCCTCACCCACCCCCTCATCCACCCCCTCACACACAGGGCATGCCATTCATCCGTAGGTGATTTTTGAGTCGACTCAAATTTCAACCATTCATCCCCCCTCACCCACCCCCTCATCCCCCTCCCCCCCCCCTCCCTCCAATCTCTTCCCCCCTCTCCCTCAAATCTCTTCCATGCCCCCCCTTATCACAGAAGGATCTCCTCCTCCCGCGCATCCGGTAGGGCCATCCAACCCCTCCCCCCAGCCGCCAACCCCTCCCCCCAGCCGCCAACCCCTCCCCCCAGCCCCCAACCCCTCCCCCTAGCCCCCAACCCCTCCCCCCAGCCCCCAACCCCTCCCTCCAGCCCCCAACCCCGACCCCCCACCCCCCCCACCCCGCCTCATGCGGCAGCACGTTCACCCATTGCTCCTCTCTTGACCGCAGAAGTATCTTCTGCTCCCGCTGTCTCCCCAACCCCTCCCCCGGGCCCCAACCCCCCCCCCAAATCCCGGACCCCCACCCTCCCCATCCCGCCTCATGCGGCAGCACGTTCAGCCATTGCTCCTCTCTTGACCGCAGAACCATCTCCTGCTCCCGCTGTCCTTCCCCACCTAACCTCCCCCTCTCTCCCCCCTCTCTTCCCCCCCCGCCCCCCTCTTCCCCCTCCCCACCCGTACAACCCGCCTCATGCGGCAGCACGTTCACCCATTGGTCCTCTCTTGAACGCAAAAGTATCTCCTGCTCCCGCTGCCCCCCTTCCCCCCCATCCCACCTCATGCGGGAGAAAACGTTCAGCCATTGGTCCTCCCTCACCCACCCCTTCATCACCCTCCCCCCCCCCCCTTACCTCTCCAATTTCCCCCAATCGTCCCACCTCATGCGGGAGCACGTTCAGCCATTGATCCTCCCTTGATCGCAGAAGCATCTCCTGCTCTCGAGCCGCCGCTAGCCCCCCCGCTACCGCCGGTCTCCCCGCTTCCGTCGCCGCGAGTCCCGCCCCTGCGGTTCGCCCATCTGCGGTTTCGCCCGCGTCCGCGACGCTGCGCGACGGATCGGCGTCGTCCCACGAGCGATCGCGAGCGATTCGCACGCTTCGCCCGCGACAGACGAACCGTACGCGACCTGACGGCGCCATGATGTGTAACAAGCACCGATTGAAACAGAAACTCAGGAAACCATCACCAGAAACCCTAACTAGGAAACCCTCCCTAAATAGGTGGCCCTGAACAGAAACTTGAACCCTGAAAATGGAGTGGGGAGTTGCGAAAGAATGGGGAGTAGTTACTGCGACGAAAACCAAACTCCTGAAAACTGTAAGGACGCACACGATAGCTTTGTCTGGAAGCTAGGCTCTCTTCCCGTCAAGCTTTTGTTTCAACTTGAGGTCGTGACACATTCTTTTGCTTTCTTATCGAAACGCTACGTTTCGCAAAAGTGAATTTCGTCAGCCTCTAAGCTGGAATTTTGCGAAACGGCTGTAGTTCAGAAACGTCTTGCGGGCGACGTTTGCTTCTTGTTCACACCCTCGAAATCAGCGTGTAGTCGAAGTGTACCCCACGGAAATGTTAACGAAACATACGCGTTCAAACTAATCCTTCTTAGCGAGGAGGTTATTACGCGGGTAATTCCTTCAGACCAAAGTCACCTCATTGAGCTGGTGGGTACAACGGAAAGTAGAAATTTATTCACCCCTTGACTCTGGTTTCCCATTTATAACCCGAAATAGGTCAGCCATTACTGGATTGCCGCCGTAGGCGGCTTGTTTCGCGCCTCCCCGCGCTTATTACAACCGCCGTCAGTTTTAGTGGCGACGCTGTACATACATGTTTCCTTAGAACGTTTCGACTCGAGGCTACGCTATTTGCTGGCGTGTACCGGCCGACTCCATATCATCTAGCCTTCGTCGCGAAACCTCAACTACGCTTGTAACGGCTCGAGTCGTGACTGGCGCCCGTCGGCATTCCCAATGCTTCAGGTATCGAAGCGAGCGGCCATTGAAGCGGCATCAAAGTAGTGATCGCCGGCTTCCGCACCTGAATGCGGCTGGCTCTGTGTTCTTTAGAGTTCCCAAAAGCACCCTGCAAAATCAAGGTGGCGAGCGGCCATTGAAGCGGCATCCAAGTAGTGATCGCTGGCTTCCTCACCTGAGTGCTGCTGGCATTGCCCTGCAATGCCTCACCAGCCACCTGCATACACACGCTGGGCTCTACCCCCCGCCTATACATGGCATGTACTCACCCCCCCCCTCCTCCTCCCCCCCACCCACCCCCACCCCCACCCTCACCCCCGTCCCCCCTCCCCCCTCCCCCGTCCGCCCTCCCCCCAAACCGCCTCCTCCTGTGCCTCTCCGCCAGGTGTTGAAGCGCGTGGGCTCCAGCAGAGTGCGCCTGGGGGGGGGGGCTGCTATCTGCTGTCCGGTGCTTTTCACACTGCGTCTCCCCTGCTTCTCGCTCTCTCGCCTCCCCTCTCCTCCTCGACCCTCCCCTCTCCTCCTCTCGCCTCCCCTCTCCCGCAGGTGTTGAAGCGCGTGGGCTCCAGCAGAGTGGACTCCAGACGCATGCGGCTAGGGCTGCTATCCGTCGCCCTCCCCTTTCCTCTTCGCCCTCCCCTCCCTCCCACCCGCAGGTGTTGAAGCGCGTGGGCTCCAGCAGAGTGGACTCCAGAAGCATGCGGCTAGGGCTGCTATCCGTCGCCCTCCCCTCCCTCCCACCCGCAGGTGTTGAAGCGCGTGGGCTCCAGCAGAGTGCGCCTGGGGCTGCTATCCGTCATGGTGGGATGGGTGCTTGGCTACCTTGCCGTCGCCATCATCGCCAACAACAGGTACTCCCGCTATCAGCTGTCGACCCATCATCGCCGTTGCCCCTTGGCATGCCACGTCTCAGCTAAGGCTGGGGCTGCTATCCGTCATTGTGGGGTGGCGGCTTGCTTGGTTACTGCCGTGACGATCATTGCCAACAACAGGTACTCCCACTTGTGTCCTCTTTAGTCGACCTGTTTCAGCACGGTAAGGCTGGGGCTGCTATCTGTCATTGTGGGATGGGTGCTTGGCTACCTTGCTGTCGCCATCATCGCCAACAACAGGTAGCCTAACCATTGCCCCATTGCTTGCCCCATTGACGACGGGGTGGGGAATGAACTAGCAGGCATTGCCATCCGACCCCGCCCTCCGGGCCGCTTGTCTGACTCCATGGGCTATCCCAAGCCCATGGTGTTCTCGCTTTCTCTCCTCTCCCCTCCCCTCATTCCCCATCCCAGGAGGTCGACCCCCTATGGCACAGATGGTGGGGTGGGGGATGAGCTCACAGGCATTGCCATCCGCCCCCGCCCTCCTGCGTGCATCAGCCACCCCAGGGACTGCCCCATACCCAAGCTGGTCTTCCCTGTTCCCCCCATTCCCCATTTTTTAGGCGCCTCAAAAATCCCCCCATTCCCCATTCCGTACGCCAGGAGATGTACCCCCTATGGCACTGAGGACGGGGTGGGAGACGAACTAGCAGGCATCGCCATCCGCCTTCACCTCCTGCGTGCGTCAGCCACTCCAGGGAGGTGAAGGCGGATGGCGATCCCTGCTAGTGGCGAGCATGCTGCTAGTGGCGAGCATGCTGATAGTGGCGAGCATGCTGATAGTGGCGAGCATGCTGATAGTGGCGAGGATGCTGATAGTGGCGAGGATGCTGATCGTGGCGAGCATGCTGCTAGTGGCGAGCATGCTGATCGTGGCGAGCATGCTGCTAGTGGCGAGCATGCTGATAGTGGCAAGCATGCTGATAGTGGCGAGCATGCGGATAGTGGCGAGCATGCTGATCGTGGCAAGCATGCTGATCGTGGCGAGCATGCTGATAGTGGCGAGCAAGCTGATCTTTCCCGTCCCCCCCTCTCCCCATTCCCCATGCCAGGCGATCGACCCCCTATGGCACTGACGATGGGGTGGGGGATGAGCTGGCCGGCATTGCCATCCACCCCCGCCCACATGCATGCATCAGCCTCCCCAGGCACTGGCCCATACCCATGCTGATCTTTCCCCCCATCCCCCATCCCCCATTCCCCATGCCAGGAGATCGACCCCCTACGGCACTGACGATGGGGTGGGGGATGAGCTGGCAGGCATTGCCATCCGGCCCCGCCCTCCTGGTTTCATGAGCGACCCCATGGATTACCCCAAGCCCAAAGTGTTTTTCGACATAGACATCGACGGGCAGAGGGCGGGCAGGATTGTCTTTGAGCTCTTCACCAAGCAGGCCCCCCGGGCAGCTGAAAACTTTCGGGCGCTGTGCACTGGGGAGAAGGGCCGGGTGCCCAACGAGCCGGGGAGGGAGGGGGCGGGGTTGCCCCTGCATTATAAAGGGGCGGAGTTTTACCGAGTCATTGACAGGTTTATCTGTCAGACTGGAATCAATACCGAGAGCATCTATGGGGGCAGCTTCAAGGATGATCCTCTCGCTCTGCTGCTGAAACATAACAAGGTGGGGCTTGTGGTCCAATAGAGCACCACTTAGGTGGGGCTTGTGGTGCGCATCTAGCATAGTTTGGAGGCGTCTCAAAAGAATCCACTCGCTCTGCTATTGAAACATAACAAGGTGGGGGTGCTTGTAGTGCTCCAGTCATCTAGTAGCTTGCTACCTTTGTTTCTGGAAACCAGTGTCCGCTTTTCCCTGTTTGCTTCGCCAACCACCCATACTTTGTGCACTATTCACACCTTTGCCTTGCTTCTACTGTTTTCCCTGGTATCTCATTCTGCATCCCTGGTCCTAACCTTTCCCTTATCTTTGCCGGCCGTCCATTCCTATCTCTCCTCCCCTCCACCTGCAGAAAGGTTTGCTATCAGCAGCTAACATTGGCCCAGACACAACAACCACGCATTTCTCTATTGTCGTGGCTCCTGCGCCGCATCTAGACGGACACTACCCCATCTTTGGTCAAGTGGTAAGGCCACTGCTTCTTTTGGGCATGGTACCATTTCGTTTCCTCACTACATGCGACACTGTGTGCTCTTATGCTAAGAACTTCAGCAAGTTGCTTTGTTTCAGGTGTCCGGTTGGGAAGTAGTAGAGAGAATAAACAAGCTCGCGAAGCCTCAAGGTTCAGGGGATGAGCGTCCCCGTCTACCAGTGGTGATTGCTGACTGCGGAGAGATCAAATAAAAATGGGAACTCAAATGTAGCATAACGAAATGATTTGCAAATTTGTCTAACCTAGTAGTAGGGGTGATGCTTGCGTGTACGCGCTAATGTACGCTTAGTAGTCTTGCTGGGCTTTTCTTCACCGCCGTGGCTCGGCCAGCGGTGCGGAGGTTCGACAACTCAAACCTGCTATCTGATGGTTCGGTGGCAGCTTCGCAAGCACAGAACCAATTTGCGTCGACGTGGCCCTCGTGCAGATCGATGGTGACCGCAGACGTGGACATCTCCACACGGCATCCAACAAGGCATCAAATTTTCCGAATCAGCACATATCCATTCCACGCAGGACGCGTGGTCGATGACACGCTGGCTCCAGCCGTTCCAGTGATGAATCTTTGTTCGCTTTCCACTGATGTTTCCCCTCCGTCGCCTTCCTGCCTGGGGAATTGCTCGGGGGAAGTTCCAACCACTGATGCCTGCCAGATGATGCTGGCTGGTCTGAAATGTAAATCCAGTTCTTCCATTTTACCCAGTCTATTGTTTCTTGATTTCACTGGACAGCTGACATTGAACAGCTCTTGCCTGGTTATCTGATAACTCTAGCAAGATGGCTCTCTGCACCGCCGCTTCCACCTCTAATGCGGCTCTGAAGTCTGCGTTTCTTCCTAAGACGGAGAAGCTGGCAGACGCTTCTGTCACCGTCAGCATTCCCGTGAAGCGGGTCGCACCAGTTGAGGCTTCCCTCGAGCCTGCCGTTTCACGAAGGACTCTTTCCCTCGCCGGAGTCGCGTCCTTGGCCGCTGTTCTCTCCGCTCCCGGTTTCGCTTTCGCGGGATTTGAGGAGGACTACGTTCAGGCGACGACGAACGTCATCGAGAGAGTGAGGAACACTCTGGGTCTCGCTAGAGACGACCCCGCTAGGAGCGACGCCGTAAACGAACTCCGCGAGCTGTCCAACACGTGGGTGGCGAGGTATCGCCGCGAGAAGTCTGTGGCTGGCAGGCCGTCCTACAGCAACATGTATTCCGTCCTTAACGCCATTTCCGGCCACTACATCAGCTTCGGACCGACCTACCCCATCCCGAAGAAGCGGCTCGACAGAATATTCGAGGAGGTTGACATTGCCGAGCGTGCCCTCTCCCGTGGCCGATAAGCGGGTTCTGGATTCCATGTTCTCAGATTTTGTCTGCACTTCGTCGTTTTGTGTTGTTGATATCAGGCGTTTTTTTTATCAGTTTTGGATTTTCTCCCTGGTTCTTTGCCAGCAGTCCTTCAGATTACACTCGTTATTAAGAAACAAGTGAAAGAACACTTCTGGATATCTGGTCCGGCTTCTTGGCCAACCCTCCCTGTCTCGTGCTTGTCCTCGTATTCCTCCTGGTCTCCTCTCCCTGTTTTTTGTCCCCCAGCTCCCTGTACTTGTCCCCTCCCTCACGTTCTCTGCCTGCCTTCGCGCCCTTCGTTTCTCCTTCGTTCTCATCCGTCCCCCTTTCGAGCGTGTGCTGTTGGACATGTGTGTTTTAGTTGGAAAGGTTTCAGCCGAAACCAATTGTGACCAACAAAATCAGACATTCCATGCAGTACTCACGTATCACACAGTGCAGTTAGACAATACCCTGGGTGTGCAGCAACAAATTGACTACAAGTTCAATTGCAATAGGGCATGTTGCCAGACCACATACGTACCATCCACCAGTGCCAACTACATAATTTGACAACACTTTGCAACCTCACTGGTGCAAAAGTACCTGGCACCAGTCTGAAAACCACAGGCTAGCATAGCTCACCAGCGGAGTGTCAACTTATACATATTATCTATGTAGAAGTTATAGGCTACACAGAGGTATGCTTCTGGTGAGTACAACCAACTAGTATTTGATCTAGGTTTCCACTTCTAGTCATTATTCGTTCTCACTTTGACATGGTATCACGGGTAGGTTAGCATCCCCCACCTACCGCTTCCGCCCGTACCCTAGCTAAGCCACGTCGCGCCTCCTAGCCCCGTCGCGCCTCCTAGCTACGTCGCCCCCCTCCTGGGCCACGTCGCGCCACCCTAGCCCCGTCGCGCCACCCTAGCCCTGTCGCGCCCCTCCTGGGCCCCGTCGCGCCTCCTAGCCCGGTTGCGCCCCTCCTGGGCCCTGTCGCGCCACCCTAGCCCCGTCGCGCCACCCTAGCCCCGTCGCGCCCCTCCTGGGCCCCGTCGCGCCTCCTAGCCCCGTCGCGCCCCTCCTGGGCCCCATCGCGCCACCCTAGCCCCGTCGCGCCACCCTAGCCCCGTCACGCCCTGCCTGGCCTCGTCGCGCCCGCTCGGCCCCGTCGCGCCCTGCCTGGCTCCGTCGCGCCCGCCTGGCCCCGTCGCGCCCTGCCTAGCCCCGTTGCGCCCTGCCTGGCCCCGTCGCGCCCTGCCTGGCCCCGTCGCGCCTGCCTGGCCCTGCCGCGCCTGCCTGGCCCCGCCACGCCTGCCTGGCCCCGCTGCACCTGCCTGGCCCTGACACGCCTGACTGGCCCCGTCGCGCCCTGCCTGGCCCCGTCGCGCCTGCCTGGCCCCGCCGCGCCTCCCTGGCCCCGCCGCGCCGGCCTGGCCCTGCCGCGCCTGCCTGGCCCCGCCGCGCCTGCCTGGCCCCGCCGCACCTGCCTGGCCCCGCCAGCACCTGCCTGGCCCCACCGCACCTGCCTGGCCCCTTCGCCCCGGCTCGTCCTGCCGTGCCGCCTCGGGCTCCGTCTCCTCTGCTCGCCCGTGCTGAGGCGCTTCGCAGCCGCCGTGCTGGAGGGGGCTGTCGCTGTGTTCCTGTGGAGCTGTGCCGCTGACCCTGCACGATGGCGGACTTCGTGCTCCGACTGGACGCCGAGGGCCATGCGGTTGACTTCGCCGCCTGGCTCTCCGATCTCCGCCGCCACCTTACAGGTCAGCGCCAGGATGGCCACTCTTTGGTTGTCCATGTCGACGGCTTGCTCCCCCGCCCCCCCGCACCTGCTCCCCCCCCTGCTGATCCCTCATCTGAAGACCGTGAGACCTTCTCTACTGCTGCGCTTGCCCGTGCGGTCTGGGACTCCCGCGATGCAGTCGCTCAGGTTGCCATTAGCCACGCCCTCCCTGTCTCTGAGCGCTCGCGTTTTGCTACTATTGAGACGGCCAAAGCTTACTTAGACGCTGTTATTGCCCGCTATTCCACACCCGCGTCTGCTTCTGCTGGTCACCTGCTCTTCCCTATGATTTTCCCAGACCTTGCAGCTTTCCCTACCGTCACAGACTTTGCCACTCACCTGCGTGCCCTAGAGACCCGCTATCGCACTGCCAGCACTGCCGCCCAGCTCACTGCGCTCCCCCCCCCTTTCTGCATGACGCTCTATTTTATCGCCATGCGCCTGCCAGACCGCCTCGCTAGTGCTCGCGATCACTTTCTTAGCCAGCACCCGGGTGACCTCACTCTCACTGCCTTTGTCGACACCCTTACCGAGATCGAGACTCGCTAGCGCACTATCGCTCAGTCGAGCGGTGCGCCGGCAGTTTCTATCTTTCACGGTTGTGCCCCCTCCCAGTGTACGTTCACTGACGTTTCGGCTGCGGTCGCCTCGGCGGCCCCTCTCACCGAAACGGCTGGTGCGGTCCACCCGCAGCAGCGCTCGCGCCGCGGTGGCCGTGGTCGCCAGGGGGGTAGGGGTGGTGGTGGCAGTAGTGGTGGTGACGGTAGTCCGCCTGCTGGGACTACCACTGGTGGGTAGGAGCAGCAGCCCCAGCCGCAGCACGAGCAGCCCCAGCCGCAGCCGCCGCCCCAGCAGCAGTCACCGTCCCAGCAGCAGTCGCCGCAACAGTGGGCCCGTCTCCCGCCTGGTTGGCCCGGCACCTCCGGAGGTAGTGGCCGTGGTGGCGGCCCGCGCAGCTTGGCGTCTACAGGCGGCTCTGGTGCTGTCACCTGCCAGTACCAGCTTCAGACCGGGCCTCTTCGCGGCACTCTGTGCCGCCGCCCGCACCCGACCGCCCGCTGTTTCCGCCGCCTCGACGATCTCTTTCGTCGTCGCTTTGGCCCGGCCCCGGACCTCCCCGACTGGCACAGCCTGCTCCGCCAAGGCGTGCCGATCTTTGAGTTCGACATGGATCAGCTAGGTGCTGCTTTGCATGCTTTGTATTCTGACGCTCCTAGTTTTGCTGGATCTTATTACCCTGTGTACTCTAGTTTAGGTGTTGCACCACTGTGTAGCTTAGCCTCCCCTGCAGCGTCAGGCGTAGGACTGCCTAGGTTGCCTAGTCTAGTCGCTGCACCGGCTCCGTCCCCAGCCTCCGCCACTGCGTCGCTGTCCTTCACTCTCGACTCCGGTGCTTCTGCCTGCTTCTTCCGCGACCGTTCCACGCTCACGCCGCTTGCTGCACCTGCTGTTGTCTCTCTCGCTGACCCCTCTGCGGGTCCTGTCGTCACGCGCAGTTCTACGTCCCTTCCCTGTCCGGCAGTTCCCTCGGGCTCCCTTACTGGCCTCCACGTTCCCTCGTTCTCGAGGAACCTGGTTGGTGTCGGCTGTCTCCAGGACCTCAGCGTCACCACCACGTTCCCCGGGCACAAGCGGTTCGCTGTCTGTTCTGAGGCTGTCTCACGTTCCCCCCTTGCGACGTTCCCCCGGGACCTGGTGTCCGGTCTGTTTACCCTAGACACCGCTTCCCCTCCGGTTGGTGCGTCCTCCCAGGTCGCTGCAGCTTGCTCGTGTCGGTCCCTCACTCACCCCTCCCTTCTCTGGCACCACCGCTTCGGTCACCTTGCTCTCCCGCGTCTGCGCCACATGTCCCAGCACGAACTTGTCTTAGGTCTCCCCGCGTCGCTCCCTGCCCTTCCTCCCTCGACTGCTCCACCGTGCACGCCTTGCGTCGAGGGTCGGCTCCGCCGTGCTCCACACTCCTCCTCGCTACGTCCTGCTACTGCCCCCCTTCAGACCTTGCACCTGGACGTTTGGGGCCCTGGCCCCGTCCCCGGACCGCGCGGTGAGCGCTACTCCCTTGTGCTCGTCGACGACTACACGCGCTACACCACGGTGTTTCCCCTGGAGCGGAAGGCCGACGTGCCCGACGTTCTTCTCCCGTGGGTTGTGGCTGCGCGTCTCCACCGCGGTCTCCCCGTGTTGTGCCTCCACTCCGGCCGTGGCGGCGAGTTCACCTCTGGTCGGCTTGGACAGTTCTATCGTGCGGAGGGCATCACCCAGTCGTACACCTTGCCGGACTCGCCACAGCAGAATGGGGTTGCTGAGCGCCGCATCGGCTTGGTCATGGAGGTCGCCCGCACCTCCATGATTCATGCCGATGCCCCCCATTTTCTGTGGCCGTTCGCTGTTCGCTACGCTGCTCACCAGCTTAACCTGTGGCCACGCTCCCAGCGGCCGCAGGTTTCGCCGACCCTCCTTTGGACCGGGTCCCCTGGTGACGCGTCTGCGTTCCACGTCTGGGGCTGCCTTGCTCACGTTCGTGCCTCTGGCACGGACAAGCTCACTGCCCGCACTGTCCCCTGTGTCTTCCTCGATTTCCCCCTGGACTCGTCTGACTGGCTTTTCTACCACCCGCCGTCTCACCGCTTCCTCCACTCTCGTGACGTCACCTTTGACGAGTCCGTCTCCTTCTACCGCGGCTTCCCTCACCGAGGTCTCCCAGTTGCCCCCCCCCTGTTCCTTGCTCCCTCTCCCCCGGTAGCCCCTGCCCCTCTCCCGCCTCGTCCTGCCCCGTCTGGTGTCTCCCACGTCACTCCCCTCCCGTCGGTTGTCCCCGTTGAGGAGTCTGCTGACTCTGGTGGTACCCCCGGTCCGTCCTTGCCGCGTCCCCCTTCCCCGGTGCCTCCGCCCCCACTGTCGAAGTCGCCGACCCCGCTGCCGCCGCCGTCGCCGTCGCTGCCGCAGCCGTCGCCGCTGTCGCCGCCGCCGCAGCCGTCGCCGCCGCCGCCGCCGTCGCTGCCGCAGCCGTCGCCGCTGTCGCCGCCACCGCAGCCGTCGCCGCCACTGCCGCCGCCGCTCTTGGCCCCTGGGGGTGCTGGTGTGGAGGAGGGTGTTCGTCCTGCGGCTTCTGGGGGTGCCGCTGGTGTTGGCGGGGGTTCTCGCTCTGGGGGTGTTGGTTCTGGGGGTGCTGCTGTTGAGTGTTCTGCCGACGGTCGTTCTGCCTCTGCTGGTCCGAGAGTTCCGGCCCACTCGTCGTCGCCGCCGCAGCAGCCGTCGCTGCCGGTCTCCGCTCTCCGCCTGCTCGGCCTTCCCTCCCCGGACCGCGCGCCGGTGTCTCCCCCACCGCCCGCTGACCTTCCTGTCTACGGTCCTGTGTTCCCGCCGCCGGACTCGTCTCCGGCCCGTCTTCCTCCTCGTTCCCCTCCTGTGTCTCCTCCGCTGTCCCCTGATCCTACGCCTCTGTCTCACGTTTGGGCTCGCCGTCCCTCCCGTGCTCGTCCCGTCTCTCCTGTCCTGCCCACCCACCCTATGTTGCTCTGTTCCCGCTCGTCTC